AAAAAAAAAAAGGTGAACAGCGGCGCCTGGATGGCCCAGTTGGTTAAGCAATTGCCTTTGGCTCAGGTCATGATCCCTGAGTACTGGGATTGAGTCCTGCATCGGGCTCCCAGCTCCACAGGAAGTCTGCTTCTCCCTCTGACCTTCTCCTCTCTCATGCTCTGTCTCACTGCTCTCTCAAATAAATAAATAAAATCTTAAAAAAAATAATAAAGTGAACAGGGGCACTGGGTGGCTCAGTGAGTTAAACTTCGGACTCTTGCTTTCAGCTGGAGTCACTATCTCAGGATCCTGGGATCAATTCCTGCATCCGCTCCTCGTGGGGCATGGAGCCTGATTGGGATTCTCTCTTTCCCTTTCCCTCTGCTCCTCCCCTGCTCTCCCTTTAAAAAAAAAAAAAAAAAATTAAAGTGAACAATTTGGTGGTGTTCAGTACACTTACCAGGTTGTGCAACCACCACCTCTTTCTAGTTCCCAAACATTTTCATTACCCCAAAGGTGGTAGCACACATCTCGTAAATTCCCAGGTCTGACATGACTTTGCTATGCACACAATTCCACAACTGGAAAAGTCCAGCATTACGGTTTAGTATAAGTTAGTAAAACAATTCTTTCCAGAGGTGCCTGGGTGGCTCAGTGGGCTTCTGCCTTTGGCTCAGGTCATGATTTCAGGATACTGGAATAGAGCCCCGCATCGGGCTCTCTGCTTGGCAGGGAGCCAGCTTCTCTTTCTCTTTCTCTGCCTGCCGCTCTGCCTACTTGTGATCTCTTGTCTGTCAAATAAATAAATAAAATCTTAAAAAAAAAAAAAGTTCTTTCCAGCATTTATTTATTTATTTATTTATTTATTTTTTAATTAAAGAGTTTTATTTATTTATTTGACAGACAGAGATCACAAGTAGGCAGAGAGGCAGACAGGCAGAGAGGAGGAAGTAGGCTCCCCACTGAGCAGAGAGCCTGATTCGGGGCTCCATCCCAGGACCCTGGGATCATGACCTGAGCTGAAGGCAGAGGCTTTAACCCACTGAGCCACCCAAGCACCCCTCTTTCCAGTATTTAAAAAATATCACTAATTTTGTTCTTTAGAGGATCATTCATTACCCAGGTCATGTTGCAGATCATTTTTCTAGCGCCAGTAACAAACCTTCATTATTGTGATGTCCAAAAAAGTCCCTGCAAACTTCCAAAACGCTCTGGAGGGAGCAATACTGTCCCCTTTGGAACCATCTGACAACCCCGAAATAAACACAAATTTCCCACAATAATTCCCAAAATGTCCTCCAGGGGGCAACATCATTTCCTTGAGAACAGAGCAGACCCAATGATCCAGCCTGGACTTTATTACCCCTCACCCAGGGTTGGATTAGTAAGGAAGAAAGAGGAAATAGCTATTGCGTTGGCAGTCAGCAAGTTCCCACACACCGTAATGCCTTTCTTTGGCCAACAGTCTCCTCCTTTCTTCCCTAGTTATTTCCAGAGGCTGGAGCCAACTTCTGGTGTTTCTTCCACATGGTGTAATGACTTCTGTATAAAGCTCCCCTCATTTACGGTGAAAGGAACACATCCGAGAGCCACCCCCGTAAGTAGAAAAATAAAATCCTTTGCCAGAAACATGATGTTCCCAGAGTAGAAACAGGCACCAGGGAAGCATTGGTCAGATGCAGGGTCATTACAGATTTTGTCTCGGAAAAAATATATGTGTCTGCCAAGCTTAGAGACATTTTGGAGGTCCAGAGGAAGAATTTTGGAATTTGGGGGATAGTTTCTTTACTAAAACAAAGGTCAAGTTGCTAAAACTTGCAACCATCTTGCTCTTACTCATCAGCCAAGAAAGTTCTAAGGCTGCGGCGCCTTAGTGGCTCAGTCTACTTTGTCTGCTCAGGTCATGATCCCAGGCTCTTGGGATCAGCACGGTGCCTGCCTCTGCCCTCTCTCCCTCTCCTCCCACCCCAGCTTGGGCTCTCTCTCTGATAAATAAATTTTTTAAAAAGGTGATATCTAGGGGCACCTGGGTGGCTCAGTGGGTTAAGCCTCTGCCTTCAGCTCAGGTCAAGATCTCAGGGTCCTGGGATCGAGCCCCACATCGGGCTCTCTGCTTAGCAGGGAGCTCGCTTTCCCCACTCCCTCTGCCAACTTGTGATCTCTGTCAAATAAATAAATAAAATCTTTTAAAAAAAAGTGATATCTAGAATGTCAGAAGGGCTTGACAGACAGTATTAGACAGTATTCTAGTGGGACACTGAAAAGGCATGCAGAAGCCTTTTTGCCTCATGGGATTTGCTGATGTTCTCATTTTCTTTCTTTTTTTTTAATTTCTTTCTTTCTTTCTTTCTCTTTCTTTTTATTGGACAGGGATGGTAAGTAGGCAGAGAGGCAGGCAGAGAGAGAGGGGGAAGCAGGCTTCCCACTGAGCAGAGAGCCCTATGCGGGTCTAGATTCCAGGACTCTGAGATCATGACTTGAGCCCAAGACAGACGCTTAATCGATTGAGCCACCCAGGAGCCCCTCTCATTGTCTTCATTACCTAAAAGCAGATGGCCGTCTAGAATTCTGGAATGGCCTGCTGAAGCTTCAGAGATGACACCAGCTGGAGACCACAGCTTGAAAGGACGGGGTCCTGTCCTCCATGTGGTCTAAGTTCTCACCCAGTGTTGTTTCGTCCATAACTAGAATACACGGCGTTCAGAAATCAAGGCACAGACGAGGAAAGAGGATTTGCAGCATTTTCTTTTCCATTCTTACAGCCCTGCTCTACTAATCTTGTGTTAAAGAAAACTTCTGGACAATTTAGTTAAAAGCATGTGCCAACATTTTATTACAATCATGCGTGAAAGGGGAAAAAAAAGGTCTCTTGTGGCTGAATTAGAAATTATTCACGGTAAGGACACTTGATGGGAGAAGAGAATGGCTAAATAATCATCATGAGATTATAGACTAGATCCAGAAGAAAAGAAAAAGATTGAAGGTTGTGAGTCTTGACTGGCAGGCAGTCCGCTCTCAAGCGGGTGGACCACTGGTTTCCCAGGACAAATTTCATACCATCAAAATTCATTCACAAACGGCTTCCATATTTTTTTTTAAGATTTATTTATTTGACAGATGGAGATCACAAGTAGGCAGAGAGGCAGACAGAGAGAGAGGGGGAAGCAGGCTCTCCACTGAGCAGAGAGCCCGATGCGGGGCTCGATCCCAGGACCCTGAGATCTTGACCCGAGCCGAAGGCAGAGGCTTAACCCACTGAGCCACCCAGTCGCCCCCGGCTTCAGTATTTTTATTAGGAAAGCAAATTACCTCACTGAAAGAGATTGTCAATTACTCTTACAAAAAGCTTAAGTTCCAGACCACATTTGGGACATTTTTTTCTTTTTGGTAGGGTTAATATACCAGGAAGTGACTTGGTGCCTTCATCTCCAGGTTTATCTTTCACACCGCTTGAGGCATTTTTTTTTTTTAAGATCTTATTTATTTTTTTGACAGATCACAAGTAGGCAGAGAGGCAGGCAGAGAGTAGGGGAAGCAGGCTCCCTGCTTAAGCAGAGAGCTGGATTTGGGGCTCCATCCCAGGACCCTGGGATCATGACCTGCTCCGAAGGCAGAGGCTTTAACCCACTGAGCCACCCAGGCGCCCCGCAGCATTTTTAAATTATTTACTTCTCCTTTTCCTGGAACCTAAATGCTCCTTCACTTGGCCAGGTCTGAAATAAGCTATTTCCGCTGTCTGGAACTTTCTCTTCTCCTTCCTATCTCACTTGAACAACCCTGCCCAGGGCGCCACGTCCCCTCCAAATAATAGAGTCTCCCTTCTAATCACCAGTCCCTTCCCCCTTCCCTGGCCACCCCTAGGCGTTATGGGTTTTTCAGCTCCAGGGAGATAGAATGTTCCCATTGTGGAGCTTGGCACTGTACAAGAAGCTCATAAAAGCACTAAACAAAGATCCTTGGATGTAAATAGGACTGAACGAATTTTTGGAGGAGGCAATGGAATGCCGGCACTGATTAAAATTCCTGAGACTCTTTTTATGTTTAATACTATGATTTTGAGACAATTATTTAAACACTAGGATTCAGTCTGCACCCACTGAATGGGAGTATCAGTTCCTCTCTGCATAGCTGTGAGGGTCAAAGGGCTTTACGTCTGCACACTGGTTAACCCCGGTTAATAGTTCTCTCGTGGAGCATTTATTGCGACCCTCCCCGGTACAACGCTCTAAGTTCTGAAACTTCCTGGAGGCAGTACCAAGGTCCGCCCCTTTCGTACCGCCCCGAGTGACGTCACCGACCGAGGTGTCTAATGACGTCAGCTCCGGGCCGGCCCGGCTCCATCCTACCCTACTCCGGAAACCTACAACTCACGGCACCCGGCCTCCAGCTTTCGGTTATTTTTTCCTCTCTTCGTAGCCCGAATCCTTTTCCTCCCACTCTCCCACCTAAAACTTTCGGCTCTTCCCGCCTTCCCTCAAGCTGGCAATTTTCGGTTCGCTTGCTTTCGGGCGAATTTCCCACTCTTTTACTCCGAATTGCCTCCCGAGCCCCGCCCTTCGGCCTTTCCCATCTAAATCCCTCTTTCGGCTAGTTCCGCCTCCTGCCACCCACCTCGGACGCCGCCTTTGGCTCCTTCCGGATCGTCTCAGTTCCTTGTTTTTCTCCCCCGCCCAAACCCGGTCCTCGTCCACTTCGGCTATCTCCGGCCCCCGCGACTTTCCATACCTCCTTTAGCCACACCCCCATCGCCACTTCGGCTCTTTCCGCTTCCCCCCCCCCACACCCCGTCTCCCGCTCAGAGGCTTTCGGCTCTTTCCGCCGGCCTTCGGGAGAGGGCCTGTGCCCCTCTCCTCCACGTGACGCGGCCTCCGCCTCCCAGTTCCCCCTCCCACCTCGCCCTTCGTCCCGCCTCAGCCTTTCGGCTCCTCTAGGCCGAGCCGCCATTTTGTGTGAATTTCTGACTGCGGCGGGGGCCGAACAGCCGGGGCACCTAGGGCGGGCAGACAGACAGACAGTCGGCCCCGTCTCCGCGGCCCGTTTCCTCTCTCCCTAAAATCCTTTTTTTTAACCCCCCTCGCTCGCTCTCCTCTTCTCCCCTCCCCCCTCGCTTGCTCCATCGCGCGCGGCCCGCGCTAATTACACCCAACCACCCACCAGTGTCCGTGTCCCCCGGGTCCCCCACCTCCGGGCCCACGGGGGAGGTGTGGGGGGGGCTCTCGCCCCGATGAGGGCCCCGCGCCCGTGAGCGAGTGACCCCAGGGGCGGGCTGCGGAGAAAGGCGGCGAGCGGCCCGCCGAGGCCTAGGCCGCGCGGCCTACGCGGAGGTCGGCGCAGAGGTGATTCCGAAACCGAAAAAATATATACCCATTCCTATCAGGAGCCCTCAGAGCTGAAGTGTGCCCCTCCCGCCACGCCCAAGCAGTCCTTTTTCGTGCATTAACATCCCCTCCCCCCCAAAGGAACTATGGAGGCCGCGCCCGGGACCCCCCCGCCGCCACCATCAGAGTCGCCGCAGCCGCCATCGCCGCCGCCGCCATCAACGCCTTCGCCTCCTCCGTGTTCCCCCGACGCCTGCCCGGCCACCCCGCACCTCCTCCACCACCGCCTCCCGCTCCCTGACGACAGGTCAGGCCCCCGGCCCGGCCGGGGCAGCGTCCCCGGGGGGAGGAAGAGGAGGAGGAGGAAGGGGGGCGGCCGCCATGTTGGGCCGGGCCGCGGAGGAGGAGGAGGAGGAGGAGGAAGGGCGGGGTCGGTGGGTGTCTCTCGCTCGCTCGCTCTTTCTCGCTTGCTTTCTCTCCTGGCCTCATGCGTTTACCCCCCCTCGCGGCGCTCGCCCGCTCTCCCTCGCTCTCGCTCTGTCTTTTTTGGGCGCCATGCTGAGGGGAAGGTGAGGAGGCGCCCCCCGGACCCCCGCGCCCGCCCGCCCGCCCTGGGGAGGGGGCGCTGGGGGGGGGCTGCGAAGGCTCACGGGGGTCCTGGCTGCCCCAGCTCCTGGAGCTGGCAGCCATGGGCCAGCCTGCCCGTCGCCTGGCTTCGGGGAAGGGGATGGGGGAGGGGCTCCCGGACCCTTTTGGCGGGGGGGGGGTGGTGGATCTCCAGCAGTAGCCCCGCTCTTAGGGGTTTGGAGTTGGGGTCTCCCAGTCCCTGGCAGTATCCTTTCTCTTGCGGGAGGTGTGCCCTGCCCTACTTGGAGAGGTACCCTAGTTTTCTTAGGCAGAAAGTGGGGGTTCGTTCAGTTTTCTCCCCATCCTTTTGGAGGGGTGCTTTGGGTGGGGGCACTCGCACTTTTTTTTGGCGGGAGGTGTTTCCTAGGTATACCCTAGAGAGCAAAATTGGGGGGGGCGGATTTCTAGCCCCCTTGATGGAAGCCCCTGCCCCCTTTGGGGAGAAGCCCCTTCCCCGTGTTTTTCTTAAAGGCAGGGGTCCTCTCGTTTTTCGTAGGTAGGTGCTGCGTTTTTGGCGGGGTTGGTTGGGGGGGGGATGGAGGTTTGGTTTCCCTACCTTGGAGGGGAGAGGAAGTTGGTCTCTTCTTTCTCATGGGGTTCCCTCCTCTTTCGGGCTGAAATGGGGCGCCATCCCTTCCGGGAGAGAAAACGAGGTTTTTTTGTGCTTTGGCAGGGGGTGAAGGGGAGCGCCCCCCCCTTCCCCTTTATTAAGTGCGAAATGGGTTTGCCCCACGCCCTTTTTTGGAGGCTGATAAAGGCGCCAGCCCGGCGCATTTCAGGACAAGATTGGGGCCTCGGTCTCCCTTGCTCCAGGGGGTTGGGGTGCAGGGTTTGCCCTCCCTTTCCTGGTGGGGTAGGGGAAGAGGTGTCTAGAGAGTGGATTTGGAAATGGAAGGAGGTTTTCCACCGGCAGGAAAGGCAGTCTGAGGAGGAGTGGGGGTGGGGAGAGGAAGAGATCGCGCTGGACAGATGGCTGCCCCACAGCAGCCCGGGCTGGGGAGTCGCTTTCAGGACCTTCCCCTAGATAGGGGTCTCAGCTAGGGCTTCCTTGCCAGGTACCACGGCCCCTTCTCCCCACTTCCACCTCCCCTTTTCCCTTTCTCCTTCACAGACCATACTTTGCCTTTTAAAAGAAATGCCACCCACATTCAGAGACACAAGTGCAGCAGTTTGGTGAGCTTTTACAAAAATTTTTTTTTTTTTTGTTTTCTGTTTTGTTCTAATTAAATGTATCGTCCTGGGAATCGCAGCCCATCGCAGCCTGCTTCCAGTTCAAGGAAATAAACAGATTAGCAAAGGTCTGTGCGCTAAGCCCACGTTGGGCTTCCGGGCCCTCTCTTGGGGGCAGGTGCATTACTCAAAGGTGCTTACACGCTTTATTCGACCTCTAAGGAGTTCTCTTATGTCAGAAGTGTATGTCTTACAATGGGTTGGGATGGTAAGTAGCCTCTTTTATTGAGTAATTCAATTATCTCCCTCTTTTTGTCCCTTTCCTGCCTGCCTTCCTCCTGCCTTTAGACCAAAGTGATGCTTGAGTGAATTTATATGTTCAAATCAGGATTCTAAACCCAGTTGAACCCTTTAAGACTTGCACATCCTTTTGATCTTTAGTTTTTTTAATTTGTCGTACACAGTTTTCTCAAAGGAAAAAAAAAGCGTTACTGTAACGTGACAAAAACTTACGTAAAAGGCCCATGTTTTCAAGCCCTTGGTATCCCTCTCTCCATTTCAGTCCATTGCTTTGTCTCCAGCCTTCATCTTTGAAGAAAGTGGATACTTCAGGTCCATTTGTAGGAGATGAGGTTAACTGAATTTGGTTTATGATATTTGCATTCGAGTTAAGGTTCTCCCTCCCCTCCCCCCCCCAAAGATTGTGGTTCAAGTAGATCCAATTTGCTTCTTTTACTCCAATGTCTCTTATGGTGATGGACGTTTAAATTAAGCAAGTCATTTGTAAGTACTGTTTAAGCACCAAATCTGTAACGCGTGTCAAGCCCCAGTCTCCTCTCTCTGTCTCCACTGTTCCTTTGTTCGAAAGCACATGCCTGACCGTGAAAAGTTGATGCAAACACGCCCAGTCATGGTGGAGAGAACACTTCCTCCAGCCCCCTGCCCCCCCCCAACACATACAAGATAAAAACAGCAACAGAAATGACTTGCAGAACCAAACACTACTTCTGATGTGTTTTACAAGCATAAGTTCTTCCGTTAAAAGACAAAACACGTTGAAGTTCCATTTTCCATCTTGCCCACTTTGGGTCCCTGATGTACTTCGGTAGTGAAAACTTTTTGTTAACACACAGCCCAATTTTCCCCTCCGAAAGATCCTGTTTCCTTTTTTTTTTCCCCCATTCTTAGGAGAAAAAAAAAAAGTTCACTTACGTTGGGATGAGGAACCGTAAACTGCAATTAAGTGGGGCCACTGGTTTTATTCTTTCTCTCCATATCCTCACAACCTAACTGCTGTGAAGTGGTGATCTTAGGTATGTAAAACCAGTCGTGGGAGGAAGAAGTGTCCACACAGTACAGTATCCTGCAAAAAAAAAAAAAAATGTCTGAAGCACAAACTGAACACACTATCAAGTGCACAGGGTCAGCCGAAAATGGACTGCATTTATCTGAAGTTTTCCCTCCTTGGTGAAATTCCTCCTCCAGGAGCCAAGTGCAGAAACTGGATGCTAACAGAGGAACCTTCCAAGTTTCGAGGGCGACTAAGTTGTCGGAGGATGCTTGTTTAACTTTACTTCTTTTGTAAGTGAAAATTTTAGCAGTCATTCATTGAACTTAAAAGTATTTCCCCAAACATTTAGAGAGTACTCAGGCATATCAACACAAGGGTTTATTGTTTTTTTCGTTTTCAAAGGACTCTCCTCTCATGAAAACCAAGAAGTCCCAGTAATTATGTCAGACTGTACTTCGATAGTCTTTGTTTTTGAAATGTCACAGTACTGCCTTTTTTTTCCCCCTAAACTGATGTACCAGTACTAGTTAAAATTCAAATTAATGGATGTTGCAAAGAAAAGGAAAAAAAAAAAAAAAAGGGTGTCACTCAGAATCCCTGATTTAACAGCACCTCTTAGACACTTGAAATCTTTAAAATTGTTATATTCTCTGGGGAGAGGCTTAATGGGAAAGCAAATTAAAATATCCCGGTAGAAATAAAACCAATTGTGACCATGAAAATAGGGATATTCTGGTCCTAAAACCCCTTCATTTTTTACTCCTCAAATTCGTTCTTGGAAAGAGAATCTTCTTGGAAGAGTCCCCCACAGGGCTTTCTGATTCACATACTGTCCTCTATCTTCCAGATTGGGTTTCGATTTGCTCGGAAGGTTAAGTTTTTGATTCTTGACAAGCCAAGAATTTTAATTGTAGTGAGCTCTTCTAGAAGGACAACCCTGTAGCTTTTGCTTGGCCAGGAAGGTTGATCCCAAGGGGGAACTGTTATGCACCTGTGGAAACGAAGGCTTTCCCAGCCGTTGGCCTACCTGGCCCATTAGAACTGAATGGTTGACTCTGAGTTTGTGTCCATCCAGTTGAATGTAGACAATTCCGTATTGGGCTGACTTAGTAGTTTATCCTTAAATAATGCCTCCACTTCTGCTTCTTTCTCTTAGATCTTTTCCCTGCCCCAGTAGGGGAGAGATGGATGTCTCAGGGTGGCCTTATTTGCTGTTCCGCTCCGCTAGGTTTTTGTGGCTTTTAAGTCCCTAAAACCATCTTCTAGAAACCAGATCCAGTTTCGGCAAATACTTGTATGGTGAAAGTCCCTAATTATTTCCCAGTCTCTGTGGATAGCTCTAGGTCAAACTATATTCCGGAGAACCTGCTTTTTGGTCCCCGTGGACAAAATTGTCTAGTACCAGAACAGCGGGTTCTGACCCGGGGTAGGAAGTTGAGTGACAGAGTAATTCAGAGCAAACAGTGAGTGGCTGCGTTTCTAAGTGAGCAGGGTGCTTGCCTGTACCTTGGCAACAACGCTCCTGCCACAGTGGGAGACGAAAGGCTGGTTTCTGGGGTTCCTGGTAAGTTGGCATTTAGGAAGTTGATTCAAGCCTCTGCGGGAGCCGTCTGCTCATCGGTGATGGGAGTCTTGTCAGAATCAATGATTTGAGGCTGGTTTCATGATTAAAACCAACTGGAAAGAGTGAAAAAGCTGCCTGTTTGGGTGGGCCTCTAAAGTTCATTTGGTTAAGCCCAAAGTAAAACCAGGACTGTCCGTGGGGAGCGAGATTTTCCCGGATTGGGCTTTCCAAATTTATCAGCCACATCTTTGTGGCGCAACGATTTTGCTCTGATGGTTGCCGAAGATGGCGGTCCTGGAAAAAGGGCGCAGGGTTTCTTAGCAATGATAGGAGCCTACGCGGGCAGTTTTTACATTTCTGCCTCAATCAGTTGATGACAAAATGAAGACATGGGCCCTCGGTTCGTGTAAACCCAGTCACATCCTGCTGTTGGAATAATTTTTTATTCCAGTACAGGACATTTTCTGGGAGTGTAGTTTGTGTCTCTTGGCGAAATTGCTCAGAATAGAGAATATGTCTCGTACTTTTTTTTTCCTCTGTGTGTATTTTATTTATTTATTTTGGTGCATTCATATCTGTGTGAATTGGTGACTCAGCTCCTATTTGTAAGGCAAGTGGTGACATCTGAACGCGGGAGGTGGCAACAGGATAGGAAGGAACAGTGTGGCCTTTGGAGACAGATAAGGTTGTGTTCAGGCCTGGCTCTCCCTGCAGTGGGCACTAAGGACAAGGGCCGTTTCTCAGGGTCATTGCAGTCAAGTGGGCATATACGGGAGGCCCGCACAATGCCTGGCATTCAGCGAATCTTGGTTTCTTTAGCTTTTTGCTGTCCCTGCTAAAGGAAAAAAAAAAAAAAAACTAAGAATTTATAGTCTGGTGTGTAAACAGAAGCAAGCATAACATCTGTGTTTTTGAGGGAAGTCGGTTTATCTTCCAGCTCAGGTTTCTGGCCAGTTTATTTCATTGCAGGGAGCAGATAGGGGTGGAAACCATCTTAAGGCATGTCTTGCTTTCTCAACGCCCTTATTACAGATGCCGGAACAGCCTGGTATCTTAAGCTTTATGCTGACGACCTTCCCATGTTTGTCTTTGGCAGTTAGGATCCAGAGTCATGCTCTGACCGTGGTAGGCCTCCTGAGAGCTGAGAGCACAGGGCTGTAGCACCTAACCCACTGCTCACTGGTCACATCCTCTTAATCTTAGTCCTTGACCGTCGCTCTTTAGAGTCTCCAGAAGCCAACAAGGCCTAGTCCCACCTCCACGATTCCCCTGCCCCTCCGTAATTGGGCTGAGTCAGTCAAGGTTTTGTTCATTCAGCAGTCAGGCTTGTCCCATGCTTTTCTTGGAGCAGAAAAGTTTTCAGAGTGTGCAGCGTGCTCTTCTCTCCTGTGGACTTTATTTAGATTTGGGCAAAGGTTGTTACTGCCTGTAGCAGGCCTCGGATTTCCTTCCCATGTCTGACGCCTGCAACTTCTGGCCACGGTCAGAGTCGGGGTTTGCTGCCCCTGTGGCAGCTCTCGGTACCCACCTGAGAAGAAAGTGCCTTAAAAATGAACTGCAGGGTGAGGCTGAGTGGCTGGGTCACAGGCTGATGCACCAGTTTGCTGAGCACCGGATTCCCTCGTCCCTTTCGTCCCTGTCGAGTGGTCCCAGAAGCCATGAACTCCAGAAGCATAAAGCTTAGAATTTATTTCCTCTAAGCTGGGGCGGTCCCCTTCTGGAAGAGAGGTGATGGGGAGCGGTGGACAGCGTGGACGTGGTACTCGTGAGTCATTGACTTAGTCTTCTCAAAGATGTGACAGGGTCTCTTGTCATAAGAAGGGCAGGGATGACCTGCCAGGGACCTTCAGAGTGCTTCCGGTATGATAGCTCAGCCCCAGCCCTACGCTGAGAATGAGAATTGGAAACAGAAATGAAGTCACTTGTCCAAGGTCACAGAGCTAGGGGGTGTGAAGACAGAGTTAGAACCCTGGGCAGCCAGTACCCAGACCCCAGCTCTCTACCCAAATGCTGTCCTGGAGCTGACATTTTCAAATTGCAGTGTGCGGCTGTTAGTCGGATACAAAGTCCCATTTATTGATTTGTCTCCTGCATTTGAGACACAAAGAAATGAGAGAGGATAGAAAAAAGCAGAGTGCGGTGGAGTTTTAAATCCTGAAACGTTCTGAAGACTTGTTTGAGAGGAATGTAAAGGAGGAGATGCGGGTCAAGGTCAAAGTTTAAAAGTCATTTCTTATAGGACAGGGGTGGAGAGTCTGTGGCTCTCCCATCAAAGCCTGCCCACCTGGCTTTTTTTTTTTTTTTTTTTTTTAATTCGGAGTAAAGTTTTATTGGAACACAGCCACGCCCATTGATTTATATGGTCTGTGGCAGCTTTTGTGTTGAACAGCAGCGTTGAGTTGTTGGGACAGAGACTTTGTGGCCCTCAAAGCCTAAGGTAGATACTCTTCTGCCCTTTAGAGAGAAGGTTGGTTGCTCCCACCCTCTGCTGTGGCGCCTACTACCAACCCAGCATCTGCCGTGATTTCTGTTGTGGCAGAGGTGGTGGGAAAGCATGGCAGCGAATACAGGTACTTCCTTTAAAGTTGGTCCCAACTCGCTGGCCCAGTCAGTAGAGCATGCATCTCTTGCTCTCGGGGTGGTCAGTTTGAGCCCCACCTTGGGTGTAGAGCTTACTTTAAGTTATTTAAAAAAAAGCATGCCTCAGAGAGAGAGAGTTGTGCTGTCCCTCTGTGACCTGGTATAGCTCTGTCTGCCCTGTGTTCCACTCCTTCCACTGCCCATAGAGGCCCCGAGCCTGGCCTTTCGAATCTTAAAATTAAGGGATTTTCATTTATTAGAAGTAGCCGGAAACTTCTTGAAGCTAGTGTGGAAGCCAATCACAGCTGACACATCCCTCTTAGGGCCTGACCCCGGGGAGCCGGGGCAGACATGAGTGACACTTGGCTCAATGTCCTTTGCAGGTGGCTTGGGTTATTGCTCTCCTCATTTTCCTAACAGACACGAGGGTTTAGGTTTCCTTGGGATTCCAGGCCCTCCCTGCCATTGCGGGGCACACCAGAGCAGCCCCAGGGACCCTAGCTTCGTGGGAACGGAGGTGGGCCCCCTCCCTGGGGGGTGCCGACTGCTGGCCACGTTCACGTGTGGGCTTTTGTCCCCCTCTGGCCTCTTGGGGCCCTCGAGAAACACTCAGCAAATGAGTTTTCCATTAAAGCCAAGACCTCCATCAACTCCTTAGAGTTTTACGGTGATACAGGTTACTGCCCAGTGTCCGTGTTGATGCAGCTGGCCACGAGGGTGTGCAGGGCTGAGGTTGCTGCTGCGTTTGTGTGGAGTACATCACAGGGGCCCAGCCAGTCTGCACCTGGCCCTGTGCTGCGCACTTGGAAAGTCAGGTGACTGCCAGCCTCCGCCGTGCCCTCCGGGAGCCCACAGTTGCCTGGAAGTTCGCAAAGCTTTGCGTATGGGTAATTGCAGTTCTCCTTGAGCTCTTGAGCGGTGTGTGAACACGGAGTCTTAGTCATCCGAGGCCCAGCTTCTTTTGAGCTGAAAATACGAATCCTTTGTCTTAGTCGAATGTACATTGAGTGGAACCAAACATTTCTCCAGAAAAAGTTCCAGACAAGGAAGAGTCTTGGTTCCCAAGTTCAGTGATTTGATTTTCCTTTCTGGAATAATAGAAATCAGCCCTCCTTTAAAAAAAAAAAAAAAATCAGGCATCTTTGGATGAGAAGCAGCATCTTTCCAGCTGTAAGCAGTCTAAAGTATGGCTGGCGTGAGAAGGTGGTTAGGAAACTGTTGTGGGGCGCCTGGGTGGCTCAGTCATTAAGCCTGTGCCTTCGGCTCTGGTCATGATCCCAGGGTCTTGGGATGGAGCCCCGCATCGGGCTCTCTGCTCGGCGGGGAGCCTGCTTCTCCTTCTCCCACTCCCCCTGTTTGTGTTCCCTCTCTCGCTGTCTCTTTCTCTGTCAAATAAATACATGAAATTTTTTTAAAAAAAGGAAAATGTTAGCGAGAAGCCAGTTTCAGAGATTTATCTGACAGGGGGAACTTGGATCAGAGAGAGATCTTTATCAGGAACAGGAGCCGCGTTAAGAGTGGGAGCAGAGTGGAGCTGCCCAGGCAAAGGAAATGCTCCAAGAGGGTTTGTGTGCTTGGACCGACCCCAGTACGGACGCCGCACCCTTTGGGATGAAGCATTCCTTCTGGTGTTGGACGATTCGGGAATTTCCTTCTCTGGAGAGAAGCCCCTTTACTTGGGTTTTGGCTAGGATTCCTTGGACCTTTCTGTGTCCTCATTCCCTGAACTATCCAAAGGCTTTGGTCAGAGTTCTGAATGTCCCAGTTCCCTTTATTTGATGTTGGAAGGACTGTATTTGCCTCGTGTCTTCACATAACAGTTTTTCCTCCTAATAGAGGGAAAATAGAGGTTTTCCTCCTAATAGTTTTTCCTCCTAAAGACTTATTCTGGGCCAGGGTAGTGCTAAGCACTTGAGTCACATGGTCTCAGGGAATTCCTCCCCTGAGGATTCATCTGTTTCAGAGGTTCTGTCTTTGCCTTCACTTGGCAGGTTTTGTTTTGTTTTGTTTTGTTTTGTTTTAAATATTGTCTTTATTTACATGAGAGAGAGAGGCAGAGGGAGAGGGAGAAGCAGACTCCCTGCTGCACAGGGAGCCTGATCCGGGGCTCAATCCCGGGGTCGTGACCCGGGCAGAGGTCAGCTGCCCAACGGACTAAGCCACCCAGGCGCCTCTCACTTCAAGGCTGAAACCCACCCCGGACGCAAGAGTGTTAAGGACCTCGCCCAGTGTCTTAATACTTCATTTTGGCCTTTCTTGGGATACTGTTTCATTTAATCCATTTTCTGTGCATCTGTCTTATTTTTGCCAGCCTAGTTACGAATTTCAGGGCAGAAATTTTGTTGGTTGGCCCATTGAATTAATTATTCTATTTCAGATAATTTCTAATTATCTCAAAGGTAGAGGTTCTGAGTTGGGCCTGGAGTCGGAGAGCCCAGGACTTGGTCCAGTTTCGTTTCTTCCTGTCTTGACCCTATAGGCAGATTTCTTCTCTTCCAGCCTCTCTGTAAAACGGGATGGACGGACGACCCATGTAGGTTTGTTACTGAGCCTTGGCGTGAGACAAGTAGAAGGGAGCTCAGTAGTATGGGGCCTGGCTTGGGGGTTGCTAACACAGAATGTTCATAATGAATACGTGCTGCTGCTTTTGGTGTCTAAGACCCTCACGTATCCAGGCAGGTTTTATCATTGCAGAAATCAGGGCAAGAGGTAAGGACTTGATGAGGACTGAAGAAGCCTCCCCCCACCCGCTTTGCCCTGACCCCAGACTCCAGCTCTCTGCCTTCCTTGACAGCCTCTCCTCACCTTGCTGAGGTTGTCCCCACCTAGGCCATCGTTTTTCTTTCTTTCCTTCTTTTTTTTTTTAAACTTACTGTGGAAGTTTTCTGGCATTTTCATGAGAGGAGAAGGGCCATCACCCACCCAGTTTCAACAGTTACGTACATTTTGCCAATTCTGCTTCGTCTCCCTACATCCTCCATCTGCCCTGGGTATTTGAAAGCAGATCCCAGATTTCACCTCATCCCATCTGCAGACTCCAGCGCGTATTTCGAGCTTAAAGATCTTTTGTAAAATAGAGCCACAAAACCGTGATCCTCTCTAACAAGATTAACAGTAATTACTCAATGTCTGAAATACCCAGACCTGGTTCACATTTCTCCGTTATGGCGGTAGGTGTGTTCCTGGCTGAATCCTAACCCTGGGCAGGCCCTTCTCACGTTGTTGAAGTGGGGGCTCGGGGTGCTGGTGGTCATCGGGCTTCTCTTCTCCCCTGCTTGGTTTGTGCTTGTCTGCTCGGGTGGGGTGCTGTCTGTGATGGGAGCATGTTACCATGAAAGTGGTGTGATGTCACAGTCTCCTGTGACCCCACCTGAGAATGTTGAGGGAAACGGAGACACAGAGCCCATTTGCTCTCGATTTCTGGTTGATGAACCTAGTAAGGACACTGAAAAACATGTGCAAGACCCAGAGGCTTATTTCAAGAATTTCCTGCCTCTGAAAATCCCTCAGTGAGGTTCTCCCCACCCCCAGGGCTGTCCCACCTCCTTGTCAGTGGAGGGAAAGGCTCCTTCCTAGTAAACAACTGCCGCACACGTCAATTTGGGGACTTTGGGGACTTCTGCGTTTAGGCCTGTCGTTAGACATTTGAAGAGGCAGAGCCTCCTTGTAATTTTATAATTTTGTCCCTAGTTAATAGGTCATTCAGAGCCTACCCAGGCAATTTGTTGAGCGCTTGGGCAGTTAATGAGCATAACCCTGACCTTCATGTTAACCTATCCGTCTCTTGTCAAGGGCTCTCATGATCTTCAGGTAACAGCCGCTGTTCCCATGAGTTTCCACCTTTTTTTTTTTTTTTTTTTTTTTTTTTTTTTGCGCACTCCCCTCCCCCCTTTTATTTTGTAAACCAGATTGAGCCACAAACCCGGGCGCCTTGCAGCTTCCATCCAGTTCTCTTGTCTAGAGAATTTCCATGTTGGACAGCTTCATTTTTGTTTTTGTTTTTGTTTTTTAAATATTTTATTTATTTATTTATTTGACAGAGAGAGGGAGAGTGATCACAAGCAGGCAGAGAGGGAGGGATGCGGGCTCCCCGCTGAGCAGAGAGCCCGATGTGGGACTCGATTCCAGGACCCTGAGACCATGACCCAAGCTGAAGGCAGAGGCTTAACCCACTGAGCCACCCAGGCGCCCTTTTTTTTAGGGGGCCTTTGGCCTTTCCTCCTGGGGCTTAGTGCTCTCTGTGTCCTTCCTTCCGGGTCAGCCACTTGGTTACTTTCTCTTACCAGCTAGATCAGAGCTGAGGAAGGGGAGATGTTGGTTTGTCAGTTTCAGCAGCGGGATTTGTCGGGAGACAACTGCGCATGTACGGTGGGGCCAAGTGAAGTGGGGACTGGCTGGCCAGCAGGTAGCGGTGGCCCCCGAGGGGCCCTGGTTGTAGCTACTCCACAGAGAAGAGGCTTTCCAGCGAGCATCTGGGCCAGTTCAGGGTTATCCATGCAGAGGCACACTCGTGGTAGCTGGTTCTTGAAACCAGTAGCTGTTTTTCATCTGGTAGTTGGTACCTTTCTCGTGTCAAGGGCTTTATCCATGTTATTTCATTTAACCTGAAAAATCCTTGTAGGTACCACAGTTATCCCATTCCACAGATGGGAAAACCAAGGCTAAGTTAATCGTGCCAAGAGCGCTGCTAGGGAACCAGCAGAGCTGGTTGTCACTCGGCTGGCAGGACGGAGCCCCGTGCCCGAATCTGTAGGCTGGTGGCTAGGGCCCGCCTGCTTTGAATCCTGAGGTTTCTTTACCCAGTTCTGTTTTGGCCAAGCCCATGGTGTATGATGAATTCAGCACTCTAACGTGCCCCGTGGAGTGGCCAAATGGGCAGTCCTTAGAATGGGCGTCCAGATCTGGTCTTTGACCCAAGAGGAGGAGCTGGCTGTCACCAGCTCTGTGAATGGAAATTTAAATGCCCTGGAAGTTTTGGTCCAGGAGGCACGAGACAGCTCTGACCCTCGGCAAGTCGTTGGCCTCTGCCCATTCCCTCCTGGGTGCCGGTTCCAAGGCAGTCCCCCGGCTTGGTTGGCTTCCCGTCCCTAATGGCCCTGGCAGGCCAACCCCAGGGCAGCCATGCTGGGAAGTTGCCAGTCCAGGCTCTGGGAATAAGGTCGTCTCAGCTCCGGCTGATGCTGCAGGCTTTCTCCTGCGTGCTGGTCTCAAGAGGGCTTGGCAGGTCTAGATTGAAATGATTAGCACGACGGGGCTTCCCCCACTTTTCTTGAGGGATTATGTCACAGTCTATTAGGCGCGCTCCCTCGGTGTTTAATCCCACTCTGACATGGGTTTTGCTGGCAGTCTGGGAAGTGGCACTACTGAAGCCAGGCTGCTGTTTGTGGAGACTGCTTTTGTGCGGGGCGTGTCTGTGCCCCCCAGGATTTCTGCCCCGGTCCCAGCGGCTTTGGTCAGTCTTGTCTTTTTTCGTCCTCTTTCTCCTCTTGAAACAGATCCCGTATTCATGTAGGACATTGAGCGGCGAGTTGTGAGTTTCCCGCGGTAGCCGAGGGGTGACCCTGCGGGTGACCAGAGGTCAGCCCGGGGCTCTGAGAAGCTTGAGAGCACAGCATGGCCGGATGGTGCCAAGAATGCGCACTGGTCACTGGAGTGTCCCCATCTCTGTCCCCTCCGGTCTCCCGTTTCCCTTCGTAAGTCACCAGCTGTTGGTTTTTATACTGCGTATTTCTCAGTTTCTCCCAGGTCCGTCTCAGGAAACAAATTTCTGACTATTCAGCCGCGTTTTCTAAAACGTTGTGCGCTAGACTGTCGCTGAGCCCAGGTTCCCTGAGGTGTTGGAATGAAGAGACTCGATCCTCGGCCCAGGGTCTTCCCAGGGCGGCTTGAGTGCTGTCCTTCCCTGCTTTGGGAAGTGCTTTGCAATGAAAAGGCTGCTTCCTGGGATCGTTCTTGGCCACGGTCAAGGCTCTGGAGTTGCTTGGATGGTCTTTGTGCCCTGTCCCCAGGTGTTAGACGGAGACTGGCCTGCACTGTCCAGCAAGCCGCCGGGTAGCAGGAGGACAGGGGCGTTGGCCCCCGCTGACCTTGGGCAGGACCTTTCTCTGCCCTGTCCTGGTGTCCTCCCCCCGAGTGGGGAGGGCTGAGGGAGTGTCTGGGCTGTCTGCTTCTGACAAGTCCCTTCACATCCTCTCCCTTCGAAATCCTCCTTTCTGGAAACAAGAGGGTTGAAGGGGTCTTGCTATTGGAACCTTGTTTTCTGGAACCAGGGCTTCTGGGGGCCGATCTTGTCTTCCTGTGTTCCCTCCACCCCTGCTTGCCCTGGGCTTCTGGGTAATTTTCACCATGTCCCTCTGCCCTTTTTCCTGTCCAGACTGTTGTCAAGAGTGATGCTCTTTTTAGCTTTTCTTCATGGAGGGTCTGCCTATGTTTCTGGTTTGTCTCTGGGCCTTCCTCAGCTCCGTAATGTCCGTCTGTGTGGTCTGGCCGCATCTTCCTGTGTTTTCTCCTGGGGTGTGGCTACTGGGCCTGCCCACGGTGTTCCCAGCAGGGACACGCATCATGTTTGCTCCAGTAAAAACACCCCCCTCCCCGGGGTGTCCACAGCTCCAGGCAGCGGGGAGAGTGCCAGGCTGCCCTTTAATAGCCACTCCCTCTGGCTGGCTGGCTCACAGAAACCAGTTTCCCCAGTTGGTCGTACTTTGACTAAGGGCAAGGCCACTCCAGCCCAGGCAGCTCCGTCCCACACCCTGTTCCGTGGGCTGCACCCAAGCCCCTGTCAGAAGGTGCCTCACTTGTCAGGAATGCTGGCTCCTCCCAGCTTTGCTCCACATCTTCCTGTGGGGCTGACACCCCCACCCCCCAACTTGGCGGTTTGCAAGGAAGCCACACCATGCGTCCATTGGTCACCTTCCTGTCTTGTTTTCCTTTGAAACATCGGAGCAAATTTTGTGTCCTGCATTGTGTCTGTGGGAGCTGCCCTTGACCTCTGCTGGGGTATCTGTGGGTTTGGGACCACTTGGGTTTTAAGCCAACCCTACCCTATTGAATTGGAAATGAGAGTAAAGAGAGCCTCCTCTTGCCCTCATCCTTGACATCTGGACAAAGGGGATGGCACGAGGGCCTCTGGGAGAATCACCAGTGTGGTGTTTCTTCAGTGTGCCCCCCTGCAGGGGTGCTGGGCGCCCACTCGCGTGGCGGGCTTGTTCTCACACTGGCCCCGGTCTCGTCTGAGCAGTGAGGTCTTTGCTGCCTGGATTCGTTCTGTTGTGGGTAGCCGTTTGGGTCCCGGGTTCGTTACGCCACTGTTTCTGTTCTCTCCATCTTCATTTGTGGATTAATTAATAGAGAAGGAAGCAACTTGCATATTCTCACACACACCCTTCCCTGGTCATACAGGAGGAACTCTGGGAGGTTTTAAAAGATTTGAAAACTTAATTTTTTTTTTTTAAACCAACTCCTGTACTTGTGTACGAGAATGCGTCCGTGGGTTTGGCTAAAAACTGGATTCTTTTTCCAGTTGCTTTTCTCCTTAACCCCATGCATCCCCTCACCTTCACCCCACCCCGCAGATAGTTAGACATTTAGAATGTCCTGTTGGCAGTGTCTGGCGAGTGCTTTTATTTTTTCAAGTACTAGGGTAGGGATGGGGGTCACGGTGGGGAGGTGACAAAGTTGGGAAATCTGTAGGCAGGGGAGCCAGAAGGGATCCCTGGGTTCAGAGCAGTGGGGTGGGGGGACCCCCTCTGTGGGTACTCTCACAGCTGTTAGGAGAGGATCTCAGGAGGGGTCTGGGACCCTTCACTTACCCCTTCCCCTTCTCCAACTGAGCTGTGCAGCTAAGGGTGTGGCTCAGACCTTGAAACCAGAGGTGATCACTTGCACTTCTTTATGGGGCTTTGGTAAAATACATTTTACATCCTCAGGCGCAGTCCAGGCCTGACCGTGGGTAGGGCCCCGGAGCGTGGGGGCCGCACCTGGTTGAGAGCCACGGCCCTGTCTCCACTGGGCCTCAGGTCCCAGGGCTCGCCAGTGACCTCAGGCCACCGTGCACCCCTGCACTTGGGGACCGTGGCTGGTCCGTGTCCCCTGATATAAGCAGCCTCTGTGGCCAGTAAGCTTTGGAAATGCTTAAACACAGGGTTTTACAGGTTTCTTGATGGTAAGACATCTGGGAACTTCTGTTAGAGCATTAAGTGCTGTGAAGCCCCAGGATGGGACTTTCCTCACCTCATTTGACCACGGAACCTTGTCACCTTTCTTCTTAGAACCCTAGTCCTGTGGAGCACTTTGAGAAATCGTGGCTTAGAGTTGTCCTGGTATCAGTGTCAGTACCTTTAAATTCTGATGGTGTCGCGCCCCCCCCCCCAGCCAGGTGACCTAAAAGCGGGCGCAGCCCTTTTTTAGGAGGGAGGGTGCGGGCTGGGACGAGAGGCAGTGGCCCTTATGTCTTCCGGAGGAAGGCCTCGCTCACAGCAGCCGGGCTCCGTGTGTCTGTCAGCAGCGGGCAGCCTGGGGCCTGCGGATGTCTCCTCTCACACCCTGTTCATATTGGCTTTGGGGTTGGTTTATAGGGAAGATGGTGAGTTGGAAGAAGGTGAATTGGAAGATGATGGGGCCGAGGAGACCCAGGACACCTCCGGAGGGCCTGAGAGGAGCCGGAAGGAAAAGGGGGAGAAGCACCATAGCGACTCAGATGAGGAGAAGTCGCACAGGAGACTGAAGCGGAAGCGGAAGAAAGAGCGGGAGAAGGAGAAGAGGAGGTCGAAGAAGAGGAGGAAATCCAAGCACAAAGTAGGTCTGGGAGGGCGCGCCGGGGCCAGGCTACACGGCACCGGGCCTGGCTGAGAGCCCCCGGGGCGCGCTGGTCTCGTAGGCCAGAGGCCACTCTTAATGGTGCCATTTATTCCTTCCCCAAATTGGATAAAGAGCTTTTTTTTCCCCTTAAAGAGTTGGTAGCTCACGCTCTACCGCCACTCAATGCCCCCAGGTGAGGTGTTTCTCTAGAGCGCAGAGCCCTCCGGCACATTCCAGCAGGGTTTGTCCCCGGGCTGACTCTGCCAGCGGGCCGGCCCGCGGCAGTCACTGAGCTCACTTCCCCTGTCACTGCAGCGCCATGCTTCTTCCAGCGATGACTTCTCGGACTTCTCAGATGACTCGGATTTCAGTCCTAGCGAGAAGGGGCACCGCAAATACCGAGAGTACAGCCCCCCGTACGCTCCGGTGAGTAACTGCTGCTCGGGGCCCCTGCGGAGCTGGGAGTGCGGGCAGGCCCATGTTTGCTGAGCACTTGCTGTGTGCTGAACACTCTTGCACGGCACTTTATATGGATTTTAAGCCTGCAAGATGAGATTCTGTTTTTATCCCCATCGTACAGGTGAAGAAACAGAGCTGGGAAACCAGCCAGGTTGCAGCCCTATAGCGCAGGAGCAGGGGTTCGAGCCCAGGCAGTGGCTGATTTCCATTGGCCACGCTCTTAAGACCCTTCCTCCCATGGCCCGGGCAGGACTCAGGATGTTCCCCGTCCCAAGAAACTTGCTGGTTTATCCCTGCTACAGCTGTTTGCCCCTGTTCAGAAATGACCTTTCCTGGAAAATCAGCTAGAGAATGGAATGGTTTTACAGGAGTAAATGATCTTAAATGCTGCGGAGGCAGAAGTCGGACATTTATGCCTTCGCAACCCTGAGCTTAGACACGCAGTTGAAGTATTTGGTTTGTGGGCTGTTTGCCCCCACCCCAGCAAAATCTCTGAGAAGAGAAATCAACATAGATTTTCAAGTTTTCGTGAAAAATGCTTTTAAAGTTAGTAGCTCTAAAATGTACCCTAAGTATCCCATCGTCCATCCTAACGGGAGATTACTGTACGGTGCTGCCGTTGACGTTGATCCTCTAACAGGGACTCAGACGTTAAACCTGACAGAGATAAGGAATGCAGGGCACAGCACAGCTTTGATTGGTAACTAGGGGCTGAGGCATTTTTTGGTTTGTTTTTTTAAAATTTTATTTATTTATTTGACAGAGATCACAAGTAGCAGAGAGGCAGGCAGAGAGAGAGGGGGAAGTAGGCTCCCTGCTGAGCAGAGAGCCTGATGCGGGGCTCCATCCCAGGATCCTGAGATCATGACCGGAGCCTAAGGCAGAGGCTTTAACCCCCTGAGCCACCCAGGCGCCCCTGAGGCGTTTTTTTTTTTTAAGATTTTAAGTCCCCTCTATGTCCAGCGTGGGGCTTGATCCCATAACCCCGAGATCAAAAGTGTCGTGTGCCACCGACTGGGCCGACTAGGCACCCCGGGGTTGAGGCGTTTTTAAGGTCTGCTAACGTAGTCACCAGTGTCTGCATATCTGTGTTTTGTGTTTTCTTGTTTTTTTCGTAATGAGTATGGAGTTTTAGAAATTAATCCTTTTTTTTTTTTTAGAACAGTTTTGTTTATTTTTTTCCAACTTAAATTGAGAGAGAGTGAGCGGTAGGGAGAGGGAGAGAGTCCCTTATTCAGACTCCCTGTGGAGCTCAGTGGGGTCTTAGTCCCACAACCCTGAGACCATGACCTGAGCCGAAAGCAAGGGTCCGGTGTTTAACCGACTAAGCCACCCACCCACCCGAAGAGCAGTTTCAGGTTTCTAGAACCCTGAGTGGATAGCGCCCTACCCACCCCAGCTGGTTTCTGCTCTAACTGTGTTAGTGTGGTACCTTTGTTGCAATTGCTGAGACAGTCGCCACGTGTTGTTAGGAATCAGAGCCTGCGGCTTGCATTAAGGTTTCCTCTGTGTTTTGCAGTTCTTCAGGTTTTTTTTTTTTTTAAGATTATTTATTTATTTATTTATTTGACAGATAGAGATCACAAGTAGGCAGAGAGGCAGGCAGAGAGAGAGAGAGAGAGGAGGAAGCAGGCTCCCTGCTGAGCAGAGAGCCCAATATGGGGCTCGATCCCAGGACCCTGGGATCATGACCTGAGCCGAAGGCAGAGGCTTTAACCCACTGAGCCACCCAGGCGCCCCCAGTTCTTCAGTTTTTAACAAAGGCTTGACATTATGGACTTGTAGATCATCATAGAAGAGTTTCAATTCTCTAAAAATCCCCTGTGCTTTACCTCCCCTCTCCTCCCCGGGCCTCTAAGCAACCAGCAACCTTTTTCTGTCTCTTTGGTTTTGATTTTTGCAGAATGTCAGATAGCCAGACTCGTCACAGCGTTTAATTTCTTCAGACCGGTTTCTCTTACTTACCAGTATGGGTTCGTGGTTTGCCCAGGTCTTTTCATAGCCCCATGGCTCATGGGCTTGTTTCTTTTAACTGCTCAATAATCCTCCACTGTGGATGGACCACAGCTGGTTTTATCCATTTACCTACTGAAGGCGATCTTGGTGCCTTCCCTTTGTGTGTGTGTGTCTGCATATCTAACTTCATCCGTATCTCTTGGCACTAGCACAGTTTGGAAAGCATCATTCAGCATGGCTTTCTAGTTCGGGTGCCAAGTAGGTCATTACTTGAATTCTAAGGCCCCAAGGAAAAAAAAAAATTTTTTTTTAAGATTTTATTTATTTGACAGACAGAGACCACAGGTAGGCAGAGAGGCAGGCAGAGAGAGAGAGAGGAGGAAGCAGGCTCCCTGCAGAGCAGAGAACCCGATGCAGGGCTGGATCCCAGGACCCTGGGATCATGACCTGAGCCGAAGGCAGAGGCTTTAACCCACTGAGCCACCCAGGCGCCCCCCCCCAAGAAAATTTTGACCAAGAAGCACCCCTCTTGGAGGGCCTGGCTTCCTCAGTTGGTGGAGCGTGCAACTTTTTTTTTTTTTTTAAGATTTTATTTATTTATCAGAGAGAGCAAGCCCAAGCATGAGCAGGGAGGGGGCAGAGGGAGAAGGAGAAGCAGGTTCCCTGCTGAACAGGGTGCAGGGCTGGGTCCCGGGACCCTGAGATCACGACCTGAGCCAAAGGCAGACACTTAACTGACTGAGCCACCCAGGCACCCTGGAGCATGGAACTCTTGATCTCAGGATTAAGTTCGAGCCCCACGTTGGGTATAGAGATTACTTTAAAAGAAAAAAAAAGGCGCTCCTGTTGCCTACCAGGCCTCCTCCCCAAATGAGATTGCTCTATATCCTTAGGAAATACCCCCTTCTCTTCCCTCGCCAGTTCTTATCGTGGGGTCTATGCATGTCTATTTTCTTACAAGCCATGGCCTTTTCTGAAGCACAGAAACATGTGGGTCCAATGCCCAGCTCTCACTCAGGTGGGACATAGTACCCCCCAAGTGGCTGGGGGCCGGGTCTCGCCCGTGGCAGAAACACCCAGACAGATGGGTCTAAGTTTAGGGGACAGCGGTGACCTTGGCCGGCTCACCCCCTCTCCCTGTCAGTCCCACCAGCAGTACCCCCCGTCGCACAGCACGTCCTTGCCCAAGAAGGCCTACTCCAAGCTGGACAGCAAAGGCTACGGCCTGTACGAGGACTACGAGAACGAGCAGTACGGGGAGTACGAGGGCGACGAGGAGGAGGACCTGGGCAAGGAGGACTATGACGACTTCACCAAAGAACTGAACCAATACCGGCGCTCCAAGGAGGGCAGCAGCCGGGGCCGAGGTGAGGCCCTGTGGCCATCACGGGGCGTGGGAGCAGACGGGGTGGGGGGGCTGGGGCGATGCAGCGTGGAGCAGGTTGGACCCGCTCCGCCAGGCCTGGAGTGTGGGAGGAGAGACGGGCGTTATTCAGTGCTGAGAGGATAACTGACAGCTGGCTGCCCCAGCCTCCTCCCCCAGCTTCCCAGCTCCTATCACACTGCAAGGTGGGACTGCCACACCTCTGAACCTTGAACCTGTGGCAGTTAGGAGGATGGTGGGGGAGGGCCTCTTAGAACCATCTCCTGCCTGCAAGGTTTTGCAACCCACGGGGGAGGAGGGCTCACAGGATCTTCTAGCTCAGCGGTTCTTAGCCCTGCCTAAGGTCCCGCTCATTGTTGAGTGGCTGTTCCTTTAATCTTTCTTGGGCAGTCTTTCCTGGACACTTCCCTGGACAAGCCCTGTTCTTTGGGGGAGATTCTAGACCAGTGTTGTCCAATAAAAAACTTAATGCAAGCCTCCACATAATTTAGAATTTTCTAGTAGTTAAGTTAAACATGTAAAAAAGGGAAAAAAATTTAAAAAGTAAAAGGAAACATTAATTTTAACAGTATATCTTATTTGTCCAATGCATTCAAAGTCTTATTTTAACACATTATCCAAACAGATGTGGTATTTCATATTCTCTCACTCTTTGTTGTCTTTGTTGTTGTTGTTGTTGTTGTTGTTATTGCAAAGAGGTGGTTTTATTAAAGGACGGGGCCAGGACCTGTGGGCAGAAAGAGCTGCCTCTCTTTTTCTTTTCGTTTTTTTAAAGATTTTATTTATTTGACAGAGAAAAGAGAGAGAGAGAGCGCGCGCGTGCACGCCTAAGCAGAGGGAGCAAGAAGCAGAGGGAGAAGCAGACTTCCCACTGAACAGGGAGCCTGATAGAGGGCTCTATCCCAGGACCCTGGGATCATGACCTGAGCTGAAGGCAGATGCTTAACCGACAGAGCCACCCAGGCGCCCTCTCTTTTTCTTTTTTTTTAAAAGATTTTATTTATTTATTTGACAGATCACAAGGAGACAGAGAGGCAGGCAGAGAGAGAGAGGAGGAAGTAGGCTCCTCGTCGAGCAGAGAGCCCCATGTGGGTCTCGATCCTGGGACCCTGGGATCATGACCTGAGCTGAAGGCAGAGGCTTTAACCCACTGAGCCACCGAGGCGCCCCCCCCCTTTTTCTTTTTCAACGAAGTGCTGTAGATCTGGTGTGTGGCCCCCCTTACAGCGCATCTTAGTCTGGTTATGTTTCGGGGGCTCTGTAGCCACGTGTGCCTGGGGCCACAGTACTGGACAGTGAGTGCAGCTCTCAGTGGATAGGGGCCCCTGTGACAGTGTGGCAGGCGTGCACCCAGGATGCTGAGGCCCGAGGCCCCCCACTGAGGGCATGTGGGGAAGTCGGGGGGGCGATGGGACCAGCTGCCTCGAGCTGCTAGGAAGACTTGAGGAGGAGATGACTGACCTCAGGCAGAGAATGGGCTGACTTCTCTCTCGCTGGTGGCATCTGCTCCCACTCGGGGCGCTCACCGACTGAATCACCCCGCAGGCAGCCGAGGCCGTGGCAGGGGGTACCGGGGTCGAGGCAGCCGTGGAGGGTCTCGAGGCCGAGGCATGGGCAGAGGCAGCCGCGGAAGGGGCAGAGGCTCCGTGGGAGACCACCCGGAGGACGAAGAAGATTTCTATGAAGAGGAGATGGAAGTAAGCTGTCCTCCAGCCCCTGGGGGAAGGTGGGAGGGCTGGTGGGGAGAGCCTATAAGACTGACTGTGGCGGAAGGAGAGTGTTTCACGCCAGGGCTGTGTGTTTCGACGTTTGTTTCTTATTTTGGATAAAGGAAATCATACGGTTCCAAATTGAGAAGGTACCAAAGCTGTGAAAACATCTCCCATTCCCAGAAACAAGTTTCCCGAGTGTCTTCTAGAAAAGTTTTAGGCCTTTGCAGTCGGGTGCTTGCTTATGCACGCCCCCCACATACACATGCGCACGCGTACAGCTTCTACTTTCATCGTCTCTCCCCGCCTGAGACCTTTCCGTGCCAGTCCCCAATGAGCCTGCCCTTTGTTACAGCCGCACAGCTGTCCCTTGTGTAGGAGGCCCCCTGGTGGGTTTGCCCCAGGAACAGAGTCCTTAGGAGCGAAGACCACCGGGAGAGCATCAGAACCCCCCACCCCCGCTGTCGCTGTGGCCTGTGAAGTGGGGGCAGAGGCGGGCGGCCCCAGGTCGCTCACCTGCCCATCTGAGTCTCCTTTTGACCTGCATGAACCAAAAGGCATGTGGGGGTAGAGAGTACAGTTAGGGACAGGGCTAATCGGTCCCCGCACGACATTTGCCTTCTCTCCTTCCGGGAATCCAGTATGCAGAAAGTGAGGAGCCGATGGGAGAGGAGGACTATGACGAGTACTCCAAGGAGCTGAACCAGTACCGCCGGTCCAAGGATGGCCGAGGACGAGGTGGGCAGGGGCCCAGGTGGCGCCGACCCGAGGGGCACCTTCCGGCGGCTGCTGGATTTGGGTCCTGGAGAGAAGCAACGGTGAATGCCATCTCTGTCCTCTGCAGGCTTAAGTCGAGGCCGTGGCCGGGGTTCCCGAGGTCGAGGGAAAGGGATGGGCCGGGGTCGTGGTCGAGGTGGCAGCCGAGGAGGAATGAACAAGGGCGGAATGAATGATGACGACGATTTCTATGACGAGGATATGGGCGTGAGTTGACCCTTCACTCGGATCTAGTATGTTTAGCCAGAGCCCCTTCTTGGATTTTTTTTTTTCTCTGATAAGTCGATCTCTGAGGCCTTTCCTGTCCTGCTTTCATCAGCTGTTCCCCGCGGGCTGATGGGTACTACCTGTCTCACAGGGCACAGGGGGCCGTGCTGCTGGTGACCCGTCCGGGGAGCCTGGTAGTTTTACAGGAAGGCGCACACACTGCCTCTGGGGGTCTGCGTTCCTGCAGGGGGGAGCGGTGCTGCGCCAGGTGCGAGAGCTTTCCCCACCTGAGCGTGGTGCTCCATGCCACCGGCTCAGACCCGGCTCCGCCTTGGGGTTGGACGTGACCTGCTGGTCGCTGCTCCTGTTCTGTGAAGACGCTTCTGTCGAGGGAGTGCTCGTCCCTGACGGCCACCTTCTGTTCTGTCAGTCCCTCAGACCCCATCTCTCCCAGTCTGCATCGCCGTCCCCCACCCCCCAACCCCTCCTTCTCAGCCTCCTTTACGCTCACACTCTGTGTCCCTAACAGGATGGTGGCGGGAGCTACCGGAGAAGTGATCATGACAAGCCTCACCAGCAGTCTGACAAGAAAGGCAAAGTCATCTGCAAATACTTCGTGGAGGGGCGGTGTACGTGGGTAAGGGGCCAGTTAAAGTACCCGTGTGCTGGGGCAGGGCAGCAGCCCCACAGAGGATGCTCACGCCTCTGGGAATGTTCTCGAGGCCACCATAACGGGAGGCAGCAGTCGGGTAAGGGTGGAAGTGACGGACTAGCGAGACTCCGTTCTCTGGGTGGTTTTTTGATGTTTTTGTTCCTGGTTGGTTTGGGAGGTCAGGATTTTAAGCCAGTCCAAATGACCTCACATGTATTAAGGTCGATACTGATAACAAAGACAAAATATGTCTTGGTTAATTACTGAACTTTAACGTCGGAAAGGGAATTATTAAGATAGAAGAGGAGGTGGGGGAATCAGGCCAGCCTTGAACTTCACAACAGAGTTCGACTCCAGAAGCGGGGCCGATGACCAGAGTTCTGAGGCCGCAACCGGGTATGAGTTCAGCCAGCCAGCTTTTTGTTCGCCGATGATGGCGATGGGCAGATCCGGGCACACACATGCCCACGGAACACTGCACCCAGGTATAGGCCTTAGAAAAAATTACATATTTGAGACAAATGTATGTGTCTATAAGATGCTCCTCCTTACGGTCTCAGTTCGTGTCTAGAAGCTTGTAGTAGATCTGCAGAAAGATGCGTAGCCGCTCTGGGGAGTAAGGGGAACCCGCTATACAGAACGGTTTCCATATTTTGTCCACCCGGGTGTGTGTCCTGAGTGTGTCTGACTGTGCATGATGGCAGACTGAGCTCCGCTAGTGTAAACACTCAGACGTTATCCCGCTGAAGGAGGTTGGTGTCCTGGTCACTGGCACTCTTGGGGGGCTTCCTACTTTAAGAATGTCCGATGTCTTTGAGCATGTGGCTTTTGTCCTCGTGGTTCCACAGTATCTGCTGTGCCTCTGGCAGTCCCATCTGAGGGCTAAGAAGAAAGATGGCCAGAGGGATTTCTTTTAATTTAGGCAGCATTGTCCTCCCTTGGGGATTTTGGCCTGCGTTTCATTGGCCAGGACTTCCAGGGAGGCCGGGGGATGTACCTTTTTGGCTGATACGTTCTTCCCCAACAAAATGAAGGTTGTGTTAGGAAGGAAGAAGTGTGGTGCTGGATACTGGCCTCCACGCAGCAAATCAGGAAAAATAGTGAGTAGGTGCGAAGAGGGAGAAGGGGGAGAATGAGAAAGAAGTGCTGAGGGGCAGTGGAGTGGAGCGCGGGGAATGGGGTCGTGGGCACAAGAGAGGGGAGCGCACGCCACGTCAGAACTTTCCAGTTGGTGGGAAGCCATGTCAGTGAGCCCCGCCCTTCCCTGTGTGGGGATTCGTGTCGTTGGTCCCTCCAGGCTTCAGCCTCCCATCGCAGATGGGCTTCAGCAAGGGCTATCGTGCTTACCTTTTCCTTGCTTCTCTTCCAGGGAGATCACTGTAATTTCAGCCACGACATCGAGCTACCAAAGAAGCGAGAACTGTGCAAGTTTTACATCACCGGGTTCTGTGCCAGGGCTGAGAACTGCCCCTACATGCACGATATCCTTTGGCACTCACCTCTCACGGGATGCAGGGCTCACACCTCTTCCCTCCTCGCTGCCGATGGCAGCTCACCTTCGCTGCGCGTGCCCGCTCCATGTGCCAGCGCCGGGCCAAGCTTCTGGCGTGTCTCGGTCTCATTGAACCTCCACATCTGTCTTGTGGCGGAGCCGCTGTCCACGTCCTGCAGATGAGGAAGCGGATACACACACGTTTCCTGGTTTTCTGTACACAGACTCTCGAGACTGGCCGTACTCTTGTCTGTTATCTTCTGGAGGTTTTTCCAATAGGCTGTGCAAGTTTGGGAAAATCATTGACCTTCATTATTCCTGCCCAGTGAGGATCCGTAGACAACAGGCCCCAAGGCTGGTGTGGTGGGGCGGGAAGCTCTCTAGAGCGGAGTCTCGAGAACCAGGGTCTCAACTCCAGTCCGCTGCCAACCCGCTGTGCAATCCCGAGCTGGTCACTTTAACTCTCTGGGTTTCCTTTCTTCATCTCCAAAACAAAGGGGGTTGGATTCTGCCCTTGGGTGGGTTCCAGGAGCCAATGCTTTTTGCCTTAACACGCTGTGAACGTGATTTTCCCTGTAAGTTGTACCACACGACTGGGAACTGCATTAATGGTGATGACTGCATGTTCTCTCATGACCCCCTGACGGAGGAGACCAGAGAGCTCTTGGACAAGGTAATGTCAGCGGTTGGCAGGGAGCCTGGGGCCTTACAGCTGCCTCCAAGGGAGCCAGGGGGGCGCACCTGCCACTGACCTGACCAGCCTGCCTGTCTGTCCCCCTGGCTTCTGTGCCGCGACCACATGTCCCACCTGCCTTGATCAGGAGCTAGGCTGTGTTACAGAGGGTGTGGGGCTGCATTTTTTTTCTGTGGGGAGAATTGAGGTCCTCGCGCAGGTGTCTTCACTCTGGCCAGGGCAGTTTGATGGGTGGGGGCCGGGGGAGTGGGGTTCTACATAAAAGGAGTGTTGCCTGCAGACTTGGACTGTAAGTTATCTTTTAGAGAGCCCTTGATGCCCGGGAAGGTGGGTTGTATTTTGATGGAAATGTCAAACGTTTCCTCTCGGGGCTTAAGGATTCTATTTCAGGGAGATTAGAGGTTCTCAGGAGGGAGAGGCCTCTGTGGTCTGGCGTGAGGCCTTCCTCCCCAGTCAGCTGGAAGCCCATCCTGGTGTTGGTGGTTCTCCTTGAAGAGTCGTGAGGTCTCCAGGGGCCCCAGGTTCTTGTCCTTGGGTTCCTAACATACACGTAGGGAGGGAGAGAGAGAGAGAACGTGGGTCCTTCCAGATGAAGGCTTTCTGCCTTCCAGTGCACAGAAGATTTGAGGGGATTGGCTGGGCTTTTGAGAATGGCAAGGATGGAGGCTTTGAGGGGCACGTGAGGCAGTCCATTGGTGACTGCCCTGTTTCAGTGGTGACCGGGGCCACGCGGGGTTCAGGGAGAAGCCTCGCAGAGGCAGAGCAAAAGAAGGCACACTGCTCACGGGCAGTGCAGTGGGAAAAATTCTCCTCTTACCAGGCCCTCTAGAGAGCTTGGTACCCTAGGAATGGGGTTTCCTATCCAGTAGATCTCAAGAGCCTGCTGATCTGACAGGGTAAGGAGTGGGGAAGGTCATGGTTTCCCCTCTCTCACGGGGAGAGCCCAGCAGTCGCTGGCTCAGCACTGCCCCCTGCTGGACCTTCAGAGTTGGCTCTCCAGACCAGTGCTGTCCGAGTAGGAACACCGCCACAACCAAGCCATGTATGTGATTTAAGCTCAGTTAAAGTAGGAAGAAACCAACGAAGTTGAATTCAGGCAAGGTATCTTATCTCATTGGTATGTCTGTGTTCAAAGTATTGTTCCAGCAAGTAATAATGAAAAGTTAGTAAAACATTTTGTGTTATTATTATTACTATTATTTTTGCTACCATGTTTTTGGAATTTGGTGCTTATTTTCTACTTAGAGCCCATGTCGGTTTGGACCGGCTACGTTTCGAGTGTCAGTAGCCACACGTGGCCGTGACCACCACCTTGACAGTCCAGCTCTAGCTGCCCTCAGAAAAAAACCAAAGAAAGCCAGGATGGCACATTTCAGCTTCCAATTACAAACCTTTCGGAAGCATCAGTATCCTCCCCGATCTAAAAAAAGCATGTCTCAGTAGGTGAAGAGGGATTGTTGAACCTGGATAAAACCGTACCAGAACTGCATCTGCATCTCAGGGGTCAGAAAGTGAGGCAGAGGGCGCGTTCTGAGAAGGACCTAGGTTAACCCCGATGAAGGCATCCGGTCAGCCCTCGTGCTGCAGCTCGTCAGCCAGGGCTGGGGTCTGGGGCTCCAGGGTGGGCCCCGGGTGCAGGCTGTGGTGCCACTCACACCTGGGCCTCGGCCACCCTCTCCCGGAAAGTCTGTGTTCTTCTTCCTTTCTTCCTTTCTTCAGCTCTGTTCTCCCACTTCGCAGACATTTCTGTCTGTGCAGACGCATCAGTTTCCAGCCGTCCATTCCAGGTTTGGAAACGTGCGTACTTCCCCACCCGGAGTCATCTGTTAGCGATATTTTGGCTCCTTTGCTTTGTTACCTGATTCCATTTTATTTTATATACGCATGTGCAGCTTTTTTTTTCCTTGAACCTTGAGAGTAAGTTGTACACATTTTGGTTCTTTACTTTTTTTTTATTTTTTTTAAGATTTTATTTATTCATGAGAAACAGAGGCAGAGGGAGAAGCAGGCTCCCTTGGAAGCCTGATTTAGGACTCGATCCCAGAACCCTGGGATCCTGACCTGAGCCGAAGCCAGACGCTTAACCCCTGAGCCACCCAGATGCTCTTTGGTTCTTTACTCTTAAATCTTTCCTCCTGCTTCACTTTTTTATAGTTCGGTTTGTCAGGATATGGTTTGTACCCGGTAAAATTCCCCATTTAGTGTGAAGGTCTGTGAGTTCTGACAAACACAGCCACCCCGGCATCTAGATAGAGGAAATTCATGCCATCACCCCCAAAACTCTGTGCCCCTATAAAGTCAATGCGTCCCCATTCTCCAGCCTCTGGTAACCACTAACCCATTTTCTGTCCCTATAATTTGCATTTTTAAGAATGTTCTGAGTAGGGCGCCTGGGTGGCTCAGTGGGTTAAAGCCTCTGCCTTTGGCTCAGGTCATGATCCCAGGGTCCTGGGATCGAGCCCCGAATTGGGCTCTCTGCTCGGCAGAGAGCCTGCTTCCTCCTCTCTCTCTGCCTGCCTCTCCGCCTACTTGTGATCTCTATCAAATAAATAAATAAAATCTTTAAAAAAAAAATGTTCTGTGAGTAGGTTTATATAGTATGTAGCTTTTAAAAACACGTGTGTATGTAATCTTCTGAATCTGGTTTCACTTGCTGTAATGCGTGTGGAATTCACGTTGTGATAGTTCATAGCTGTTTGTTTTTAACTATAGATAGTTCATAGCTGTTTCACGTTAGGATATTTCATAGCTGGATGATATTCACGTTAGGATAGTTCATAGCTGTTTGTTTCTGAGTAGTACTCTATTGTATGGATGATCTAAGATTTTGTTTTGTTTTGTCTTTGAAGACTTAATTTATTTGAGAGAGAGAGAGCATGAGCAGGGGGAGGGGCAGAGGGAGAAGCAGGCTCCCCGCTGAGCAGTGAGCCGGGTGTGGGGCTCCATCCCAGGACCCCGGGATCATGACCTGAGCCGGAAGGCAGAGGCCTACCCAACTGAGCTGCCCGGTGCCACCGGATGATCTAAGTTTGTCTGGTTACCAGTGGAGCAGATTTTTCTGGTTTCCAGTTTAGGGCAGAAACTTGGGATTTTTAGCCAGCTAATACGAGTAAACAGATTACTTTGGCCTGATGAGCCTTGGCTCACGTGCCTTTTCGTGTCTGCAGGCATGACTGTCCTTTTCTGCTGAGAGGTTGCTGTTGACTATTAGGAAGTTTTGGCATCAGTCAGGATCCGTCCTGGTGGAGGTGGGCCCTGGTTGTCTCATCTGATGAGAGGGTCCTGGGCGCCCCTGTCCTCGCAGCGGAGAGGCCCGGAAACAGACGCACGGGAGGTCTGGAACAGACGTGCCCCTCTCCGCATCTCTGGGCAAGGGCTGCACAGACAGTTTGGGTTCAGCTTTTCTGGCGGGAATGTTGTTTTAATATGTTTCACATGTCACTGTCTTGGCCTCAAATGCGGGTCAGTCCTTGCTTTCACAGCAACACGCATGGCCCAGGGTGGGAGATGCTGGGTAAGGAGATGAGCACGGGGAGCCGGTCGGGTCCTGGGCTGAGGCCTGAGTGAGGGACGAGGGAAGCGAAGTCCTGGGGTTGGGGTTGTGTGGTCCAGCTGGCCCGCAGGCTGTGCAGGGAGAGCTGAAGCCCTGTTTGCCGAGAAGCTGAAGGCCCGAGTGTGTACAGGGCCCAAGGAGGTAAGAGCTAAGGGGAGGCCTGCTCACTGGGGAGCAGCAGCGCCCCTACCGAGACCAGCCAGCGGGCCAGAGCTCTAGTTCCTCGTGTTAATCATGAATTCATTAAACACGCAGTGTGTGGTGGCAAACAGTGGTGGAGATGCCACCGTAGCCTCGCTCCCCAGAGCCATTGGTCGAGAGGAGAAAGGGACATTCCAGCTAATAGGTGGTGCAGAGAAGCCTGATCTCCAGAGGCAGGGGTCAGGAGGGCCCTGAAGGACGAGGACAGCAGCGAGGCAGCGCTGGGAGGAGGGATAGAGCGGGGCCTGCTGGGTGCGGGCATGGGAGGCAAGGGGAGTGTGGCCCTTTTGGTGGCCAGAGCCTGTGGCCCCGTCCATAGCAGGGGAGGAAGTTATGGTCAAAGTTGTTCCTATTGAATGAGGTGTAACCTTGTCAGGTTTTGCCTGCTGTCTGAGGGCATTGAGTTGCCACTGAAGGAAGGATCTCGAAGGGCAGACGTGTGGCCATGTTGGTGGTGGTTTGCACTGTTGGTGAACAGAGAGTGGTGCGGGAGACTAGAGATCATGGGGTGGGGGAGCAGGGGTGGAGTCCTGGCCAGAGGGCAGGTGGGCCATTCAGGAGGTCCAGGCAATAGCTCGAGAACAGTGTGTGGGAGAGGAACCCTGATCCTGGCTTGGGGCTGGGGAGGTAGAGGGGCCATCTTTCATAAGAACCCCACTCGTGGCCAGTAGAGGGGGAGAAGGCACAGGGACTGAAGCGCCATGGGGCAGAGTGGATACCTGCAGCCCTGCAGGTAGATGGGTCTGACTGAAGCTTGAGGGTAGGCGGGACCTCGGGGCTGGGGTCTCCCCTGCATACTGCCGAGGCAAGGCAGTATGCAGGGGAAACCCCTTCCCCTTGAGAAGCACACCAAATAGCGGAGCCAGGCCAGCTGAAGCTTTGAAGCTTTGACTTTGTGCCCCCAGACGGCCCGACGCCCTCACCTCTGCCATCCTCTGCTCTGGAGTCTGGGGAACGCAGAAGGAGATGCGGCTCTTAGTTTTCCTTGCTCACTGGTCCAGCAGGGGTGCGGCAGTGCCAGGCTCCTGCCGGGCTCTGGCCTGGGCGCTGGAGACACAGTGGCTAGGAGAGGAGTCCAGTCCTAGGGCGGATCCTGATTACACACTAGGATTGGGGCGCTGGTGGGAATGTGCAGAGAGCCCAGAGGCGCTCCAACAAACTGACTTACGAAGGCTCAGTGAGCAGGTGACCCCTGGCCAAGTGACAGGAAGAGGGAGGAGGGGCACTTGCGGAGCAAGGGACGCTGAGCCAGCAGCAGCTGCACGCCCAGGTCAGGACCCAGAGGGGCCACCTCGCTGGGCAGGAAGCAGGCAGAATGTGGGGGCCGTGAGGCTGCGGGATCTCCGCCGGCCTGGCTCCCCGCTGAGGGCAGCACACTGTCTTTGCACTGTTCTAGGCGTGTGTTAAATGTGGTTCCGGTTCCCACTTGACCGCACCTGGAATCAGCAGGGTTCCAAGGGACGAAAGGTTCCCGTTGATTAATTGTCCGAGTATCCTAGCACCCCTGGACCCTGCTGTCTCTGGGCACAGGTACTGCTTCTGACAGTGAGGATAGAGAGAAGCTGGGAGCACCTGACAGTCTCCTGGAGGCCCTGCTGCCACCGCCCACACTCCCGCCGCACTCCCGCCGGCCCCGGGTGCAGGAGCAGGGGTGGTCTTGGGTAGGGCCGATGCTGAGACACTAGCTAGGGGTGGGCCATCTCTAAGCCCCGTGTTAGGATGCGCTGAGGTGTCTGTGCCCAGGTCCCCAAGATGACCCAGGACCAAGCAGGTAGCCACCACGGGCAGAGGCTGGAAAAACCAGGCACCATCATCCAGGAGTCCTCACCCCGTGTAGTCACGAGGGCCATGCTTAACCCTCAGGTTGTGACAGCACTTTGAGGAATGTTCTCGAATGGGGGTGCCTGGTTGGGGCTTGGTCAATGCCCAGCGTCTTGCCTCTGCCTGGCGTGCACCAAAATCCCAGAATCCCAGAGGACAGGGTATGTTTCAGCGGCAAGCATGTTGTCCATGTAAACACTTTAGGCACAGTGAGCACCTCTTGTTAGGGAGTGTTAGGGGATCCCTCCCCCTGAAATCCAGGTGCCCAGACACCAGCCCCAGACCAGGGTTGCAAGCAGGCCTTCCAAGGAAAGCATCCAAGACTGCTGTGTTAACTTTTCTGCGCAGGGTCCTAATTGGTGAGACATTCTGCTCCAATAGCTCATCTCCCCTGTCCCAGGTTCCATGCTGGGCCCCAGGTACGAAATTGCGCTGCCTGTGCAGAATTGACAGCCACAGGGTGAGCCCAGGGTCAGCGGGGGACAGCTACACATACAGACTTACAGAGCTCGGGCAGTGCTGTGAACGTTGCTGATGGTGGTCCAGCAGTGAACACAGGACATCAGGACAGTCACTTTGAGTTGACCTTTAGTAAGAGACCCCACCATTAGGGGACACAGAGCCACCGTTAAGAATAGAGGGAAAGGGGCACCTGGGTGGCTCAGTCATTATGCATCTGCTTCGCCTTGGGTCATGATCCCAGGATCGAGACCCACATCAGGCTCCCGGCTCAGCTAGAAGCCTGCTTCTCTGTCTTAAGTTCCCTCTCTCCCTGTGTCTCTCTCTCTGTCAAATAAATAATTAAAATCTTAAAAAAAAAAAAAAAGAAAGAAAGAAAGAAAGAAAAAAAGGAATAGAGGGAAAGACAGACACTCAGGAAGAAAGCTGGTTCCAGCCCGGGTACCACAGGGGAGAGAGCTCGCTGTCCCCGGGATTGGCATGGGGCGGGGTCCTCAGGGTCGAGGAGCCCTAGGCACCGCGGAAACAAGTGAAGCCGAGGGTTGTGGCCCTGTCCTCCCAGACACCCAGCCCTGCTGTCAGGCCCTGTGGCTCAGGGTAGGGATTCGGCGTCTGATTACAAGTGTAGCGAGAGGCCCATAGGATTCCAACAGGACAATGGCATGTTAGCCATGTAGCATGCTACAGCATGGATAAACCCAGCGGCGTGCCCAGTGAAAGAAGCCAGTCACCAGAGGCTACAGGGCGTGAGTCTGGTTGTGTGACCTGTTCGGAGCAGGCAGGTCACGGAGATGACAAGCAGATGAGTGGTTGCGGGGGGCTGGAGGTGGGGATTGGGAGTGACTGCTAACGGGTACGGGGCCTTCTTTTGGGGTGACGGGAAGGTTCTGGAACTGGTACAGGTGGTGGTTGTATAACCTCAAGTCTGTACTTAATGCCACTGAATTTTTCAGAAGGGAAAACTAGTACCTTTTGTGTTTCGCGTGTTTTGCTGTGAATAGGAGTGGCGCCCCCCCCCACCCCAGCCGCCAGGGGTCACAGAGCAGGTGGGACAGCGGCATGGGACGATGATTCTTACGCCAAAGAGGCTTTGTGCTCCTTGTCTTTATGCTTGTGAGGGCTACAGGGTCCTCGGGATTTGGGGTTTTGTGTTCTGAGAAACTTTTGCTCCCCACGTGGGAGGCACATGTCCTACGTCTCCCTTTGTTCTCACCCGCAGATGTTGGCTGACGACGCAGAAGCAGGCGCTGAGGACGAGAAGGAAGTGGAGGAGCTGAAGAAGCAGGGCATCAACCCCCTGCCCAAGCCGCCCCCGGGTGTGGGGCTCCTGCCCACCCCACCTCGGCCCCCCGGCCCCCCGGCCCCAACCTCTCCCAACGGCAGGCCCATGCAGGGCGGACCCCCGCCCCCACCTCCGCCCCCTCCCCCACCCCCTGGCCCCCCCCAGATGCCCATGCCGGTGCACGAGCCGCTGTCCCCCCAGCAGCTGCAGCAGGACATGTACAACAAGAAGATCCCCTCCTTGTTCGAGATCGTGGTGCGGCCCACGGGCCAGCTGGCTGAGAAGCTGGGCGTGAGGTGAGTGCCCTGGGTCCCCCCACCCCCCGAATCAGGCTTGGGGGTGGCTCTGGCTTCCGCCAGGCTCCCTTTATGCTGGGGTCTGTCACCATGAGCCTGGTCTGGAGCCCTCTGACCAGCTGCGTGGATGCCTCCATGTTTCCTGGCTAGTGTGGCCACCATTCTTGCCCCGCAGTCCCTCTCACGAGCATCATTTCTTCTCCCTAGGTTCCCTGGACCCGGAGGACCCCCAGGGCCAATGGGCCCTGGGCCCAATATGGGCCCCCCGGGGCCCATGGGGGGCCCAATGCATCCCGACATGCATCCCGATATGCACCCCGACATGCATCCGGACATGCACCCCGACATGCACCCCGACATGCCGATGGGCCCTGGCATGAACCCTGGCCCGCCTATGGGACCCGGTGGCCCCCCAATGATGCCGTATGGTCCTGGAGACTCTCCACATTCTGGAATGATGCCCCCCATCCCGCCATCCCAGAACTTCTATGAGAACTTCTACCAGCAGCAGGAGGGCATGGAAATGGAGCCAGGACTCCTCGGGGATGCAGGTGCGCAGGCCGGGCTGGGGGGCTGGGGGGCCGCCGCAGTGGGCACTGGGGACGTAGTCGGGAAGACCTGGGTTTTTGCTTCCGTCCAAGTCTTTCAGAGCATGAATCCAACTCCATCTCTGTCCCATGAGTGCTTGCACGTTTTCAGTGATGGGGGGGGTTCACTCCCTGTTGAGGTTGAATGGAGTCTTGTGATCTTATCGCTGTAACTTACTTGACGTTTTACACATTTTGCTGGGTGCGCCTGGAATCGGGACCACGGGAAATCAGAGGGGCGGGTGTGGAGGACTTTGGGCTCTGAGGCGGAGGCACCCTCTCCAGAGTGGCCTCTTTCCAGACGGTTCTGGGCTTGGGGCTGCTGCTGTTGGCCCTGTGCCTCTGCTTGTTCTGTCCCCGTGACTCACCGTCTTTCTTCCATCTTTCCTTCTTTACTTAAACAAGAGCGTGTGTTGGTAACGACTCATGCCTGCCAGGCAGAGGGGTCGGCCGGCTGTGCCGCGGCCTTCAGGGGGCAGGGGTGCGCCCACTGCTGCCACAGGGCGGCCGTGGTCCTTGCCTCAGCCGCACTGTACTTGAGGGAACCAGACCACAACGTGGAAGCTCATTTCAGCACCGATCGTTCCTCGAGAAAGCGGGGCGGGTGTTTGTGTTAGAGGGTGGGGCCAGACAGGTCAGGAGCGTCAGTAGATGGGGACAGTGTGGGGACAGTCGGCAGAGGCCTCTGAGGAGGGGAGGAGGCCCAGGTGCAAAGTGGCCGCGTAGCTCGGTGAGGGAAGTCGGGGGAGCCAAGTCCCTGCATGAGACTCCGACAAGGTGGCCTCATGGGGAGAACACTAGGGAGCAGGCAGAGGCGTTCGAGGGTGGCGGGTCGGAGCTGCAGTGGAGTCAGGGAAGCTTCTGAGCTGCTGTGGAGTCTTCTGGGCAGAGGTGGCGGCGACAGGGCAGGAAGTGGCAGGGCTGGGCTTCATGGCGTGCAGGTAGTGCCTGGGGGGGCCGGTGGGCCTCCTCGGACACGCGCTATAAGGCAGGAAGGAGCTGGTGCAGCCAGGTCCCTGGCTGGAGGCTCAGGCTGTCCCGGTGCCAGGAGTCCTGCCGGAGAGAGCCAAGCTGTGGTAGGTGGGGAGCACCCCGCTTTGGCTGCCCTGTGAAGCAAGAGGCGCCCATCTGACCGCCGGGTGGAGATCTGGAAGGGCGTCGGGGAGGTCAGCGAGCTGCGATGGCTGTGGGGGCGTCAGTGCCAGGACCAGGAGCTTCAGAGAGGAAAGTGCCATGTTTGGAAGCGAGGAAACCACGCTGTGTGGCGGGGGGGGCGCTGTGGTTCTCACGGTCCCCTCTGCTATTCTTAAATCCACTTAATAACGTATGTGGAAAAGGGTCTGGGTGTGGAGGGCAAGCACGTGTGCAAGCTGGTGACAGCAGGTGTCTCTAGAGTAACTCGCTCTAATTCCCGTATCAGGAAATCCACCCTTTTAAAGCGTGTCGCTCGGTGGTGTCTCCTATGTTCGCAGTTGTGTAGCTTTTGAGGAATTCGTTCAGGGCCGCGTGCTGTGTGCAGGGGGACCTGGGGCCTTTGTTCCTGGGATGTGCCAAGCTCTGTGCTGGGGGGCCGCACAGCATAGGCTTGCCACCAAGTTCACGTGTAGGCTTGCCACCAAATTCCTGTGTCCCGAAGTTCAGGGGCTAAAAGGAGCTGACCTTTCACTTTCCACTTTATATGCTTTGTGGATGAAATATTCACAAATCCTTTGAACCCTTTAAGTTTAACTTAAATTACGGCACTGGCCATGTTCAGACGCTCGGGGGGATAGGACAGTGGTGGACGAGTCACGCAGTGCAAGTACGGAACACTCCTCCCTGCAGAGCATCCTGGGAGGGCCGTGCCGAGCAGACCTCGTCTGTCTGTCTGTCTCAGCGAGTGCACACACATGCGCAGACGCACACACACAGTCTGCGCACGGCTCCCCCGCCTGGGCTCTCTTGTGGCTGGAGTTTGTGGAGGTCCGCAGCTGAGGCCAGGCACCTGCCCGCTCTCAGGAGTGAAGGCAGACCCTCTGCCTTGTGCTTCCTAGACGCTGTGTGGGAGCAGCGCACTTAGGAACAGTGTGTGGAGCTCGGGGACGCAGAGAGGAAGGAGGGAGGAGGAGGAAACTGCCAGGAGCCTCTGGCTTGACCACAAGCTTAGCCACAGTTTGGTTATTGCCTTCTGTTCTTAAGTCTTCGTTGGCCGTGGTTGAGCACGTAAGACGAGCTCACCAAGAGATGCAGTGTGTTTTTTTCCTGATTATTGCAAAGAAACCACAAAGTGAATGCTCGTTGCCAGTAATGAGGTCAGAAACACGTGGGGTCAAATGCGAAGAATCCGTCTGCCCTCTCTCCCAGATCTCACCCCCGGAGGGACTGTTTCCTCTCTGTCTTCACAGCCTGTTCTTTGCGTTTTGTAAACATCTGTCTAACGTTCTGTCCTGTTCACCTCATGAGCATTTGCCCGCATCACTAAATTGTGCTGTGAACCCCATTTTCAGCGGCTGCATCCTGGGTGGGGACACCCTCGTGGGCCGCTCCGTTCCTTGCTGTTGGGCTTTCTGTGGGGACCGTCCTGGGGCGGTGGGGGGAGGGACGGGCTGCACATCGTCACCCATCACCATGGGGGGTGGTTCACCAGTGAGGGGCGCACAGGGGGTTGGCGTTGGTGCCGCGAGGCCCTTCCCGACGTGCACCCTCGGTTCTTCCCTGCCGCAGAGGACTACGGGCACTACGAAGAGCTGCCGGGGGAGCCTGGGGAGCACCTCTTCCCCGAGCACCCTCTGGAGCCCGACAGCTTCTCTGAGGGAGGGCCCCCAGGCCGGCCGAAGCCGGGCGCCGGTGTCCCCGACTTCCTGCCCTCAGCCCAGAGGGCCCTGTACCTGAGGATCCAGCAGAAGCAGCAGGAGGAGGAGGAGAGAGCGAGGAGGCTGGCTGAGAGCAGCAAACAGGACCGGGAGAATGAGGAAGGCATGTGTCCTCCCCAGGGGCAGGGGCGTCCCCTGACAGGCACAGCCCCCCCCCCCGGGCCACTGTGCAGTGGAGAGGTGGGGGATGCCTAGGTGGGGTTTTGTGTCAGGAAGGAGCCTGTGGCCAGGGAGGACCCCTGCCCAGGGCCGTGAAGCCAGGCTGGGGCTGCTGCATTGCCTATGCCCGAGAACATTGGAAGTCAGGGCTGCCTTTAGTGTCTTGGGGGTCAGGAGAGACACTGATCCCATAGAGGAGGGAGGTGGGCTGGTCCCTGGAGGAGACAGCAGGATTTCCAATAGGATTTCCCTTCTGCACCCTTTCAGAAGAGGCTCAGAGTTGATGCTCACAGCTCCCCTTGCCCTAGACCATGTTCTCAGGAAGTCAGCAGGTGACCGCTAGTCGCTGACATAAACCAGTAATAATTAGCCGTCACAGCTGGCAGGTTGCTCGGTGCCACACCGCGGAACTGATGGCATCCAGCCCAGTAGGATAGGGGGCTGACAAATGGTGTCTAGAACCAGGAGCTGGAGGCTGCATATAGGAGCCTGGGAGCAGGTGGGGACAGTGGGAAGAGCGGACAGTGCCCTCCCTTGGTAGCTCCGGCTTCACCAACCTGGAGGGTTTCTGAGTAGGCCCACCAGGCCCCGTCTCTTCCCAGCCGGTGACTGCCCTTCCCCGGGACGTGGTTAACGTTTCGAGGGGCTTGGGGGCCAGTGTCCGTGGGCCCTGAGTGCAGTGAGAGCGGAGTCAGTGGTAGCTGCTCCCAGGTACCCAAGGCTGGGCCTGCCATGCGGGGACCTCAGTCCACAGGGGGTGAGGACGAGGTGGCAGAGCCCTGGGCTAGGATTCTGAGCCCAGTCCCTGCTCTGCACCCCATCTCGTGGCACTGTCCACACTTCTGCTTTCTGGTCTGTCAAATGGGCATGATAATACCACCTCCCGGGCGGTCGTGAGGATTACTGAGACAGCACTTAGAGCACTGCTGGCACGTGGGGAAAGGTCTAGAAACGTTAGCCAGCGACCTGCCAGTCCCGGCGCTCCGCTGTTTGTGGCGGCCCGCGGAGGGAGGGGAAACAGGTTCTCAGAGGTAAGAGGCAGAGGAGCCACTCACCTGGAGGGCTGCTGTGGGGTCCAGGAGTGGTGGCCGCTGGTCGCTCATGTTCCTCCTTCTCTCTGTTCTTTCTTAGGTGACACTGGGAACTGGTACTCCAGTGACGAGGACGAGGGCGGGAGCAGCGTCACTTCCATCCTGAAGACCCTGAGGCAGCAGACGTCTAGCAGACCCCAGGCTTCCGTCGGGGACCTGAGCAACAGTGGGCTGGGGGATCCCCGCCTCCAGAAAGGACACCCCACGGGAGGCCGGCTGGCTGACCCTCGCCTCAGCCGGGACCCCAGACTCACCCGCCACGCCGAGGCTTCCAGCGGGTCTGGCCCAGGAGACACAGGGCCCTCCGACCCTCGGCTGGCTCGCTCCGTGCCCACCCCCAAACCCGAAGGCGGCCTTCATTCCAGCCCTGCAGGCCCCAGCGGCACCAAGGGGTCTGGACCACCCCCTACGGAAGAGGAGGAAGGGGAGCGGGCCCTGCGGGAGAAGGCCATGACCATTCCCCTGGACCCTCTCCCGGGACACCCGCTGCGGGACCCGAGGTCACAGCTGCAGCAGTTCAGCCACATCAAGAAAGATGTGACCCTGAGCAAGCCGAGCTTTGCCCGCACCGTGCTCTGGAACCCCGAGGACCTGATCCCTCTGCCCATCCCCAAGCAGGACGCGGTGCCCCCGGTCCCTGCAGCCCTGCAGTCCATGCCCACCCTGGATCCCAGGCTGCACCGTGCCGCTGCCACGGGGCCCCCCAACCCCCGACAGCGCCTGGGCACCTCCACAGACCCTGGCGCACCCGGCTCCAACCTGCCTGACTTTGAGCTCCTCTCTCGCATCCTTAAGACGGTCAATGCCACGGGCCCCTCAGCGGCCCCGGGCTCCAGCGATAAGCCCAGTGACCCCCGAGTCCGGAAGGCACCCACTGACCCTCGGCTCCAGAAACCAGCAGACTCTGCTGCCTCCTCCCGGGCTGCTAAGTCTGGTCCCACCGAAGCTTCGTCTCCTGCCGGCAGCCCCAGCGGGGAGTCCTCCCCACCAGCCACCGCCCCCTACGACCCCCGAGTGCTGGCTGCCGGTGGCCTGGGCCAGGGCGGCGGGAGTGGGCAGAGCAGTGTGCTGAGTGGCATCAGCCTCTACGACCCCAGGACTCCCAACGCCGGGGGCAAAACCGCGGAACCGGCTGCTGAGGCAGGCGCCCAGCCCAAGGGCCCCGAGGGCAATGGCAGGAGCTCTGCCGCTAAGGCCAAGGAGCCCCCATTTGTCCGCAAGTCCGCCCTGGAACAGCCGGAGTCCGGGAAGCCTGCTGCGGATGGGGGTGCTGCCACGGCCACGGACAGATACAACAGCTACAACCGGCCCCGGCCCAAGGCTGCTGCGGCCCCCACCACCACCCCGGGCGCCCCGCCAGCAGAGGGCGCCTCGCCCCAGCCCGGCGTGCACAACCTGCCTGTGCCCACGCTCTTTGGGACTGTGAAACAGACGCCCAAGACGGGTTCTGGGAGCCCATTTGCTGGCAACAGCCCAGCCCGCGAGGGCGAGCAGGACGCAGGGTCCCTGAAAGATGTTTTTAAAGGCTTTGACCCCACTGCCTCCCCCTTTTGCCAGTAGTGTTAAGCTGGAGTCAAGTGCTCCCTGCACCCCACCCTGCCCAGGGCAATATTGAAGGGCAGCAACCGGAGTTGGGAACTTGGGGGGAGGGGGGGCTCGGGTGTTTTTTTTTTTTTCCTTTTTTCTTTTTTCCTCCATGTCTCTCTCTCGCTCGCTTTCTCTCTTTCTTTTTCTCTCTCTTTCTTAATAGTACTTTCTTTACAACGTATAAATTGTATATAACCATTTTCAGTCAGTTCTGCTCAGTGCTGCGGGGCACACAGGCTCCCGCCAAGAAAACAACCTCCTGCACGTAAACAGGTGTGAGTCCCCTGGGCCCCGGCCCCAGCTGGTACATCCTCTGGCCTGGCTCAGTTATCAGGGACTCTGTGAAGGCTGGAGCCCCAGTCTGGCGGCTGGGTGTCCGGTGGGTTTTCTGGGCAAAGCTTGGCCCCTCCAGCCCGCCCGCCCCTGAGGACAAAGGGAACTGTCGGTGTCAGAGGCACTGGACGCCGCTCGTCCTCCGCCAGCGAGGAGAGATGAAGCCGAGACAGTGAGCAGGCCTGGCGTGGAGGCAGGTCCAGGTGTTTCTAGAACCCCATCCCTTGTACAGGGCACAGGCCCTACCCACCTGCTTCAGGGACTGAAGGAAGGAGACGATTTGAGAGCAAGGCAGACGGCCCTCGGAAGCCGCCTGGGCTGGGAGAAGCAGAGTCCCGCCTGCTCCTGTCCGCTGTGGCCCTGCACACCGGCGTCCCCGCCGCCGTCCATCCGGAGTTCGTCCTCAGACCCGCACCCCCCACCCGCATCAGAAGACTCCAGGGTGAGAGATGGACCTGGAGGCGGCAGGGCTGGTGCGGGGCGGCCTGCCCCCAAAGCTGCACCCAGGGGGGCAGGCTCCGCAGACCGCGTGTTTTCTGTCAGTATTAGCTCCTGTCTTGTCCCGTCCCGTCGCGGCCACGCCTCCTCCCCTCAGGCTGGGGGTCTTTCGTGGTCCTCAGGAGCCAGAGCACCCGGTGTGCCGGCCCCAGCCCCTCGGATAGCTCACGGATCCGTGGCGTGGCCGCTCCCCCAAGGCTGCCGACAGGGAGCCCCAGGTGGTTCGTTCTTGGCAAAGTGTTTCCGCTCCCTGCTTGCTTTGAACCTCCTTGCACCGTGTCTAACTTAGAGCCCGTGGTTTGGGCGTGTTTGGTTTTCTTCCCAGCTGACAAGTACGTGGGTTCAGAGGCGTGTCACGGTGTTGGATTTTGAGGGCTTGAGGAAAGGGCAAGAGACTAGCCAGGGCAGGGGTGGTCTTGCAGCGACCTCTCCCGGAGTGAGCACAGCAGGACCCCTGCTTGCAGGTGGAGGGTGTGGAACCAGAAACCCGCATCCCGCTCCCCTCCTCTGGCTGAGCCGGGATGGGAGCAGACACGTCAGCACTGGGCTCTCCCACCTGCCCCAGGACCCTGGCTGAGGCCACTTGAGTGGAAGCAGTGCCGGCTGTCTCTTGCCTTTTTCTCAGCCCATCGCCGCACCCGCCTTGCTTAAGGCCCCACCTACTCCTTGTTAATAAGGAGGAAACCTGATGACCCAGCCAAAGGGTTTCCCTTCCCACCTCCTTGCGGTGGGAGGTGAGTGAGGCTCTTAGACCAAACCCCTCTCCCCGGAAAGAGAAAAAACAGTCGTTGAGTTTGGGGCCGGAAGATAGGGCGGGAGAAGGCAGCCCACAAGGCCAGTGCGCCGTGATCAGGTTGGTTTGGTTTGTCTTTGTCTTTTTGGTTTTTGTTGTTTTTAAACAATCATTAGTGAGATTTTTCTTCAGCCACCCGTGTTGGCCTTGCAGCAAAGGGCTGCAGCCCTGGATGTTTGTAAAAATGAGAATACACAGTGTGGCTGTGGGGTTTCTTTTCCCCTCCCTCCTTTGAAAATTTTCTTTTGTAAAAGCAAAATTAAATACTTTTTTAAAACCGAAATCTGTGGATGAAATAGATGCTGGAGCCCTCCTGTCGGAATATTCAGCCTAAGAACCTCACGGGACTATGAATTCCCCCGAAATTTCCATTTGCCATCAGGCCAAGCTTTTAAAAACAAAATGTTCTCTAACCAGGATTGTAACAAAAGTGTAAATACTACTTCAGAGTTGAGAGTTGATGGTGCAAATATGTATATAGCGTACTGTATTTTTACAATGATCATCGCATGACTGTCCCAGCTCCCTTTTTGTACTCCTTATCTGTCTTCCAGAAATGTCACCTGCCCTTTCTCCTGTGGTCTCTTAATCCAATAATTGTATTACTGCCATTAAAGGATGCAGTTATTTTAAAAATTCCCGCGGTCTCGCCTCTCCATGCTGCCTGCCCCATCCCTCGCCCCCAGAATGAAAAAACTTGGATCTGCTCTCTCGGTGGCCAGCCCCTGGGTGACATTCATGACGACACCGGGGGATCGGGGCCTCCAAACAGCTTGCGCTTAGGGTTGGCACCTGCCTCCCAGAGTTTCCGAGCTCCCACTCTGGGCCAGTGTCAGCGCTCAGAGACAGTGGTGAACGCCACGCAAGGGGTCGGTGGCAAACAAGCAGGGCAACTGGGCCAGCTGACAGGGAGCCCTGACCCCTACAGACCGAACGTGTGTGTCTCCTCAAAATTCAGACGTTAACACACCTATGCCCCCATCCCACCGCGTGCCACCGTGTTAGGAGGTGAGGCCTCTGGGAGGTGGTGAGGTGGGGGGGGGGGTTGGAGCCCTTCGCCGATCACCGGTAGAAGCTGGTAAGCTCGAAGTTCATGTCAACATTTCAGGATGCGATCTTTGAGTTTCTCCCCATTCATCCGTATTGAGTGAGTTGCGATTTCACCTGCAACTCAAGACTCCCGACTCAGCTGGCTTAAACAGCCAGGAGTCCGGCACCTTAGCGAGGTCAACAGGGCAGTTCCGGGGTGGGTCACGTTGGAGGGAACTCAAGTCACACGGGTTTGGGCCGACGTTCATACTGCTGGTCGTGCTCTCCTGATTGCGATTTGGCGAGAGCACCTCTGCCTCGCCCTGCCAAGTGCAGAAGCCGGGGAGGAACTCTCCTGGCTTCCTCGTGAGCAAGGGAGCACTTCTGGAAGCCCCTCAGCACGCTTCCTGTCTGGTCTCGTCAGCCCTCCCTCGTTGGTCGCCGGCAAGGGGGGCACTGGAGTCTCACGTTCTGTGCTTGATCAAAGATCCGGCATCCTGAGGCCGAGCACATGAACACCCACGTGGCTCGCAGTGCCGGGGAGGCACGGGGGTTGAGAGCCGCAGTGGTGACGCAGCCAGCAGTCGTGTGGTGGGCGGCCCTGGGCTCCAGCAGAGGCGACCCGCTGGCTGGGGCAGGGACCTGCACCTGGGAGGTTGGCAGGTCCTGGAGAGCCTCGAAGGCATTGCTACAGACACCGGCACGGAAGAGCGTGGAGACTTCACGCTCGAGTAAGGACCAGACTGGAGGCTAGAACCTTCCTTCCAACAGGGGTGTGGGAAATGGATTGGCTAGGACAAGATGGGGGTGCAGGGAGCCTCATGGGAAGACAAAGCAAGAGGAGCAGGGGGCTGGGAAACCAGAGGACCAGAGACTCAGGGTGTAGATAGGAATTGGTGTGACAGTGACACATGAGGGATGATGGAGATGGGGGGTCGGAGAGCATGTCTGAGCAGCCCAGTGGAGGGCAGCTCCCTTGCTGAGATGGCGCTGGGGAGGACAAGGTGTTCTGGGTCGAGGCTGAGGGGGGCTTCCATAGTGTTGGTTGACGACTTGAGGGCCGTGGAGCCCTGAGTGTCACTGTTGGAAAGAAAAAGAGCCTGAGAACAGAAGGGGCCCGTGAGCATCGGCCAGTGAGTGAGGCCAAGAGCCATGTCCAGAACCTTCTACTTTCCAAGATGACTGCGGCTTCGGGATTGGCACCTGTGCCAGTGTCCTTGGGCACCGGCCCCGACCCACCACCCAGATTCTACAGGTGTGCACATGTGCCCATACTTGCTTTGTCAGAGGCTTGGCCATCTGCTCATCCGTCTCCACCCAACAGAACACAGCCCCACAAATCCTGCAGCGTGTGTGTCATCAACCAGAGTCAGGATTCACATTGCTTTTTTTTTTTTTTTAGGTGCAATTCCCAAATCATGAAATGCACAGAACTTCCATGTACACTCGTGGAGCTTTGAAAAATGCGTTCAACTGTGTGCCCCAAACCCCAATGAATACAGAGAAATTCCTCACATTCCCTCTGGGTCAGTCCCAGAGCTGTGCCCCAGGATGGGAGACTGCAATTATTTACTTGCTCCCCCTGCTGAGGGACCTTTGGGGCCGCTCTGGATACAGCTGCTAAACACATTTGCGTGAGGCCTCGGTGTGACCATAGGTGTTCATTTCTCGGGTAAATACTTAGGAATAAGGAATGAATGTTTAGTTTTATAAGAAACTGCCAGACTTCCAAATCGGTTGTACCATTTTTCGTTCTTACTAGCGGTGAATGAGAGTTCTGGTTGCTCTATATCCTTGCCATTCCTTCCCATATAGATTTCTAAGATACTAATACTTATCTATTTAATTGAGGTGAAATTCACATAACATAAAATTAAACACATAGTTTAATGTGTTTAAAATAAAAAAAAAACCACAAAGTTTTTTAAAACTTTGTAAAGCCTAACCTTTTTTTTTTTTTTAAGATTTCATTTTATTTGAGAGAGAGAGTGAGACAAAGCATGAGACAGGAGAAGGTCAGAGGGAGAAGCAGACTCTCCATGGAGCTGGGAGCCGGATGCGGGACTCAATCCTGGGACTCCAGGATCATGACCGGAGCCAAAGGCAGTTGCTTAACCAACTGAGCCACCCAGGAGCCTCTAAAAAGATTTTTTTTTTCCTAAAGATTTTATTTATTTATTTGACAGACAGAAATCACAAGCAGGCAGAGAGGCAGGCAGAGAGAGAGGAAGGGAAGCAGACTCCCTGCCGAGCAGAGAGCCCGATGCGGGGCTCGATCCCAGGACCCTGAGATCATGACCTGAGCCGAAGGCAGTGGCCC